TTGGGATCATTGAAAAGCTCTCTGATCTGAGGGCCATAAAAATTCCTGCATTCAGCTTTGCCTCACTGACTTTTGGAAATTTTCTTTCAGAAAATTGAAAGCCTGGCTTTTTGTCCAGTGCCTTTACAAACTTTTTGAACAGACCGAGCTTGATGTGCAGTGGCGGAAGAAGAATGTTCTCTTGATTCACCAGAGCATGGGCAACAACATTGTGAGAACCTGGGTAAGTCCACTTCTTGCAGGCCAGTCGTTGCATGTAGTGCTGCTTGTCTGCTCGACTATCCCACAGACAGAGGAAACAATGGAAACTTGGTGTAACCACCTTGTAAGCCCAGCACCATGGACACAACCTGTGGAAAAACAGATTAAAATATGTTTAGCTGAATAGTTTTATTATTAAAAATAATAACACTTCATAATATGACAGTATGTCGGCAGACATATTACCTATTAGAAAAACTGTCAACAAAATATCAATTTTTGAAAGCTCAACTGTTTTTGGTTTATTAAATTACCTTCAAGTCTCCACAGATCTTCCAATTGTGGTCTTTATACTTCAGAGCAGTTAACAGATACTCCATGTTGTTGTAGTTCTCATCCATCTGCACTGAATGCCCCACCAGAACAGACCCGACCTGGTTTCCATTGAACAACACAGCTTTCAAGCTTCTTTTTGATGAGTCAATGAAGAGCCGCCACTCTGATATATTGTATGATATTCCCATAGCTGCAATGAGTCCACTGATATTGTTGCAATACACCAGACAGTTTCTTGTCAAAACTGAAGAACTTGCGAAATTCCTTGTCACGGTTACGGTACCAGGCAAATGTTGTTCCTGGTGCTAAGACATTGTGTTCACAAACCGTGATCCTAGTAGTTGAGCTGACTCCTTAGACAAGCACAAGTCTCTTGTTAAATCATTCAACTCAGCTTGACTGAAGGGGTATGGGCTCTTTGCAGAAGCTGTGGGCAAGTATGTACTAGAAGCGTCAGTCTCTTCTATGTCTTCATCGATATCATGATCGTCATCGAGTATCATGTCCTATAGTTTTCTGGTGGAGTTGGAATTGGTATTCCTGGTCCGTGAGGAACTGGTTTGATGGCTGAGGGTACATCTGGATACTTAACATGATGTTTGTTCTTCCTGTTTATACCTGAAATGTGAACGAAGGATTTAGTATCAAGATAGCATAACATATTAACTTACAGATATATTTAGAATGCATGAACATACTGCATTTGATATATTAGTATTGATGTATTAGTGTAATCGCTTATAATTCATATATGTATCAATGTCATATTAAGGTTAAGTTAATATTAGATTCAGTCTCTCGTTGTCAATATATCCGATCAATAAGAAAAGAAAATCAAATTCACTCGTTCGAAAGCTGTCACAAGTTGAAGCCAGATTGATATCCATAAAAAGGATTATGTTTCAGAACTTTAATTATTTACGTATACAGATATATAAAAAATAAGACAAATATAACCAGATAATCCAAAACACACTGTAACCAGGCCAAACCTAACCACATTTAACCAAATCTGCCCAAACTACCCGCGTGAGGAACCAAAAAATTAGTGTCTTTTTACAGCAGTTTTCACTCGTCTTACTGTAGCAGGACACCAAGGAAGTAAATGTGATGAGGGAGGTAATAGTTCTCGAGGGAAGAAGACCAAGGGGTACATGAGAGGGCAGCTGATGACTAATGATCCGTCAATAGAGACAACAGATGGTAATAGGAGCTGTGGTGGTGATGTGTGTCGGGGGAACAGGAGTCTTGTTATAATGGCAGCTATTACTATTAATAATCTCATTGCCCAGCATCTTAACTCTCCCAACCTAAGTCACTATCCTAATCCCAGTTCTGCAGTCCGTAGCTTTACGGTAAGAAATAGTGAACACTTGGGTCTACCAATCCGTACTTCTTTACCAGATAACAAACCCAAACATTCCTTTGTACATCATCAGAGAGAGGAAATGAAAGTGACCCAAGATATCTTTTATTTTTTTCAAATATTAAAGCATCAAATGAATTAGACTTGAAGATTCTGGAATCGCTAATCGTCGCAGGATATCTTTTGCCAAAACATTTTATTTGTGCTCACTGTAGTTGATCTGGACCTCGATGTTGTTAAGAGGCAGATCAGAAAGACTATCTTCCAAACCACCCACCCACCCACCCTCCTACTCCACAGTTGATGAGGCAGCCTCCTTCACAGGTAATAAGTCAGACCCCACTCCAGTAATGGCTCAACCCCCCCCCCCCTCCAAATTTATTGTTCAGCCCCCATTCCGCAGTTAATGATTCAGTCCCCGCTTCACAGTTAATGACTCAGCCCCACTCTGTAGTTGATGACTCAGCTCCCACTCCCCAGGTGATTACTCAGCCCCAAATACCCCCACTCCACACAGTTATTAACTCAGCCCCACTCCCTCATTACACAGTTGACGACTCAGTGAATCCCCACTTCTCCCACTGTACAGGTAATGACTCCGCACCCATTCCTCACCCCACCATTAATTACTCAGCCCCCACTCCCCCCACTACAGCTTATGACTTAAGTCTCCACTCGTCCCACTCCACCATTAATGACTCAGCCCCCACTCCCCTTACTCCAGCTAATGAATTATTCTCCACTCGTTCCACTCTACAGTTAATGACTCAGCCCCAATTCTTCCACGCTACAGTTAATGATTAAGTCCCCACTCTACAGATAATGATTAAGTCCCCACTCTACAGATAATGACTCAGCCCCCTCCACTCCACAGTTTATGACTCATCCCCATCTCCCCCACCACAGCTAAATAACTCAGCCCCCAACTCCCCTCACCCCACAGTTAATGACAGACCCCACTTCACAGTTGATGACGCAACCACCACTCTACAGCTGACTCAGCCCCCACTCACCCACTGCACAGCTGATGATTCAGCCCCCACTCTACAGTTGACATATCAGCCCCCTACCACACCACACAGTTGATGACTTGATGACTCAGCCCCCACTCCACAGTCCTGGCCCTCAGCCAGCGCAACACTAACTCCGTAAACTCATCACTCACCCAGCAGTCAGCCACAAGTAACAAGAAAGCAAATCACTTTTAAAAGGCTGTATTTATATCTTAACTAAAGCTTAATCAATACCAACATACATTTATATACACTATACACATGGTCTTCACAAGCTTCATGCATGGATACGGTAAATAAACGCGTCAATTCAATCGATGTTGAACCGTTGTCCATCAGTGTATTTACAGTATACAGCCATTCACTAGCAGGGCGGCAAGTGTTAACAAGGTCACGCCAGGTCAAGGGTCACTGGTTACTCATACTTGACCTCATAATGTTCCCCTCACGATACTGTACACAGGATCTTTTATGGTTCACTTACACTTATTTATGTCACTCGTTAAACCTCAATAACACAGGATGGCTTTAACTTGTTTAGACCAACCTCGCTATAACGATGTATACGCAGCGTCACGAGTCGAGCTGCATCACTGGTGGATCAGTGGCACTACAACATTCCTCAGTGGTGGATCAGTGGCGCTACAACATTCCTCAGTGGTGGACAAGTGGCACTACAACATTCCTCAGTGATGGACAAGTGGCACTACAACATTCCTCAGTGGTGGATTAGTGGCACTAAAACATTCCTCAGTGGTGGATCAGTGGCACTACAACATTCCTCAGTGGTGGATCAGTGGCGCTACAACATTCCTCAGTGGTGGACAAGTGGCACTACAACATTCCTCAGTGATGGACAAGTGGCACTACAACATTCCTCAGTGGTGGATTAGTGGCACTAAAACATTCCTCAGTGGTGGATCAGTGGCGCTACAACATTCCTCAGTGGTGGACAAGTGGCAATACAACATTCTTCAGTGATGGATAAGTGGCACTACAACATTCCTCAGTGGTGGACAAGTAGCACTACAACATTCCTCAGTGATGGATCAGTGGCACTACAAGACAACACAAATCCCTCTATCATGGTAATATTCCAATCACGATTTTTGGGTAAAGTATTTTTGCAGGAAGGCGAACATCATATATTGCGGTAAAGGTATTGCAGGGTGAACCAATCCTCCCAGCTCTCAGATTGATAAGATAAATATGGTAAAATATGCTCCCCCTAGCCTCTTACACCGCCATGCCTGTCATTCCAGCCGACGGTGGACGCCACGCTTATTTTATTCAGTCACGGGGCCGAGCTTATCATCCTAGATAGGGGGGGGGGGAAGCGTCTTTACCTTATCCTGAGTCGAAGACGTTCATGAATGGAAGGAGAGACCCAATATTATGCCCTGATACCTGACATAAGGCTGTGTGCGTCACCCGAAACAGATGGAAGGGTAGAATGTTAAAAAAAATACGCCATAGGTACTTCAACAACAACTTATGTACATCCCTGTAATTGGGTTGACTGAACATGTACAAATTGATCAACTCTCTCACTCTAGCAACAGTAAAGGCTTCACTAGTGTTCTCCGCCTCACGGTGGTCTAGTGCCCACAATGGACACAGTCCCCTGGAGTCATCATCCTGTCAGGGAATCAGCTCCTCAAACAAAGGATCTGATCACGTTAATAATTCCCAGTTGTTACTTCGTATTTGTATGTTGTTGTTGTTGTTGATAGGGGCCATAAATATATACGATACAATGCGTTTTAGTAATAAAAGTAAAGTTTATTATTTCCTTATACATATACGTGTGTGTGTGTGTGTGTGTGTGACTTACGTTTATTGTTTTAGATCAAACTAGGGAGAGGTCAGCACTATTTGTTTCTCATTACTCTACGAAAAACCATCAAATTCTTCACATATTTCAACAACACAATATATCATCGGTAATATTCCTCTCTCAGACGGTGACAGGTGGCTTGACTCTTATTGTGGTTTTATAGTTTTCCCTCATTTTATAGTCAAGTTCATAAAGACAGGTCAATCTTGGTGCTATTCTTAGATATTGGTGTGTGAGACGCACTCCTGGGCCGGCCGCCCACAACGAAGGGTGTGGAGACGATAAGCGGCTCCTCAGGGTGCTCTTGTAGGAGGTATGGGGCAAGTTAAGCGTCCATGTTGACTTTACTGTAGGAAGATGGGAAGACTGTAATAGGACTTATACTTGTGTGTGATAATCATATTTTTTTTATTATGTTTTCCTTTTTATTTCCTCTTTACTTCTATCGTTCATTTTGTTGCTTCCTTTTTTTCCTCCTCTTCCTTTTCCTCTACTATGTTCCTTGTTAATTTCTTGTGTTAATTTTTTCTCCTTTCCTGCTTTTCTTGTTCGTTATCTCTCTCTTCTTTTTCTTCCCTTTCCTCCCCCACTGTTTCTCCCATACTAATTATCATCCTCCTATCGTTCTCACTCCATTTTCTCCTTCCTTCCCTCTTAATTATCCATCTTTCCCCTCAGTCTACCTTACCTTCCCATCCCCTCTGTCCTCTCTCATTACCCCTCACTCTCTCACTCCTCTCCATCCCCATAACAGAGTGCCGTCACCCGTCAAAAAATTACTCAAATTACAGAAGACTTTACACAGAGGGCGAGGTTGATCTTGAAGTAATCAGAGCTGAGACAACACACGAGGAAGATGGACAACTGGTTATTTTACCGGAGTTATGAGAATATAAACTTCTTGTAGAGTTAGTTTCATTGTTGGGTTTTTAGAAGTCTGTGAAAAGCTATACTGTATATCTGTCTGGCGGTAGAAATATATATGTGAAAAGCTATATATCTGTATTTGAGTGTAGAAATACATATAAATGAAAAGTTATATAATCTATGTGGCTAAAAATCTTTGTATTTAAAACTATATTGTATACATCTGCTTATGTATCTAAAAATTTATATTTATTTATGTAAAAAAAACATAATAAACATACCTGTAAAAATCTTTCCCTGCAAAAATATCCATTTATTGCGATCTGTAAAAAGCTGGTGTATATATCCATCTGCTTGTGATAAGGTATGTCTCAGTATCCAGACGGCTATATATGTTCAGTATGTATCCATTATCCAGGTGAAGGGTGTCCTTCAGGCGTCTCCATCCATCATCCATCCACTCCTTTGTGTGAACAGAGAGAAGCTCGGGAAGCAGCCATCCCCCTGGACTCCCCTCCCACCTGGTACGATGTTCTCCGTAAACTTCCTGACCTCTCGTACGTCTATGGGAAAGGGTCGCGGAAAGGGGACGTGATTGCTGCCCGTATCATCATTCGGTATGACTTTGCTTGGGAGATTGGTATCCTCGCATCCCCTGGGCAACGCTCTTGTGCATTATGCAGAAGACCCGACAGCAGCACCCTTATCCACTACCTCCTAAGATGTCCCCACACACAACGCTTCCGTGACGCCTGCTGGACCACCACTCCACGACCCCCTGACGGAGACACGATGATCCTCCCCATACTGGCCAGATATTTTGTAAATAATATTGATTATGTGTTAAAGTAATATCCTTCCTTCCTTAGGCTTTAGTGAGCTCCTTTATAATATTTATACTGTATATACTTGTCACACCTGCCAGATGCTTCTGGTGTCATTGTACAGGGGTACCTAGTGACAGCACTAGGATCCCGCTTCCTCTATCAAGGAATAAACAATTGAAATTGAAAATTGAATCCTTTGTGTGAATTAAATCTAAGCGCGGACAACGGGTAGTTACTGTGTACTCAACCTGTGAGCAGGGGCGTAGAAATGATTACAGAACTGAGGTTACTGTGTGTGTGTGTGTGAGTGAGTGTAAAGTATTATTACATGACCAAATTACACCCAGGAAGCGGAGCTCTTTAAATAAACACGGGAGCCCAACCAGCCATCACAGTTCATTACCTCACTCACTACTACATCATCACCCTCAGACAACACCCCGACACAGTCAACTACTTATACACGCAACATTAAATACCATCATGCAGGCTACCACACTGCTGCCACACAACATAGTGGGCTACCACACTGCTGTCACGTAACATAGGCTACCACACTACTGCCACATAACATAGTGGGCTACCACACTGCTGCCACGTAACATAGGCTACCACACTGCTGTCACGCAACATAGTAGGCTACCACACTGCTGTCACGCAACATAGTAGGCTACCACACTGCTGTCACCATAACATAGGCTACCAAACTGCTGCCACGCAACATAGTGGGCTACCACACTGCTGCCACGTAACATAGGCTACCACACTGCTGCCACGTAACATAGTAGGCTACCATACTGCTGTCACGCAACATAGTAGGCTACCACACTGCTGCCACGTAACATAGGCTACCACACTGCTGTCACGTAACATAGTAGGCTACCACACTGCTGTCACCATAACATAGGCTACCACACTTCTGTCACGCAACATAGTAGGTTACCACACTGCTGCCACGCAACATAGTAGGCTACCACAGTGCTGTCACGTAACATAGGCTACCACACTGCTGTCACGTAACAAAGTAGGCCACCACACTGCTGTCACGCAACATAGTAGGCTACCACACTGTTGTCACGTAACATAGTAGGCTACCACACTGCTGTCACGTAACATAGTAGGCTACCACACTGCTGTCACGTAACATAGTAGGCTACCACACTGCTGTCACGCAACATAGTAGGCTACCACACTGCTGTCACGTAACATAGTAGGCTACCACACTGCTGTCACGCAACATAGTAGGCTACCACACTGCTGTCACGTAACATAGTAGGCTACCACACTGCTGTCACGCAACATAGTAGGCTACCACACTGTTGTCACGTAACATAGTAGGCTACCACACTGCTGTCACGTAACATAGTAGGCTACCACACTGCTGTCACGTAACATAGTAGGCTACCACACTGCTGTCACGCAACATAGTAGGCTACCATACTGCTGTCACTCAATATAGTAGGCTACCACACTGTTGTCACGTAACATAGTAGGCTACCACACTGCTGTCACGTAACATAGTAGGCTACCATACTACTGTCACGTAGCACAGAAGGCTACCATACTGCTGTCACATAACAAAATACACGTAATTCGCTCTAACATTTATCTTTACGTTTTTGTGTGAGACAATATGACACAATGGAATAAGAATTTTGACAACCCCACCGAGACAACAGTAAGTCGCTTTGTTTATTTTGAAAATCATACTTTTTTGAGCGCTGAACATTATAACCTGTGTGCTGTCTCGCTGCCTGCACGGTGATTTACAGCGATGGTTCATATTTGTATACACTCTAAACACTGACAAGGACGCGACATAAAACTAGGAAGATTCCCAGCTCTGAGGACCTCGACCGTGATCCTCCTCCCACTTTGTCCTGGCGTTGTTTCCACTCTAAGGACTGCACACAGGGAGGGGAGTCTCTTTGGTGAGATCCTTTCTCTCTCATCACTGTGGACGGGATATCTTTTTGTATAGCGATATTCGTGTCTGTCTCTTTATCTGTCTTTATTTAATTAGTGTATTTTGACACACACACACACACACACACACACACACACACACACACTTGTATATCATTTGTAAACCAAGAGACCCATTCCACAATTATGTAATTGTATATTTTCAGCCTTCCGGCTGCCATGCTCATTCAATAAACCATTAATTATTATTTTTATTATTATTACACACACACACACACACACACGATGCATCATACGTGGTGTGTAGTGGTGGCCAGCGTGTAAATCTTCCCTACCTCAGGACTGTACCAAGTGGTGGGCGTGTAGGACAATAGTATATATGTTAGTAAGTCATATGTCAGTGATATATTATGCTTGTATGATCATTTATGTTTGCTGAGGCATTACTGTCATGAAAAGGAAAGTTATGGCTATATTACCTTCTGGATAAGAGTCTGTTAGAGCTAAATTTACCCCTGGAATATACTACTGTTGATATATAAATATTTGTTGACTTCCTAGATCTCTTTTAGTATTTCATTTTTCTATGGGCGAGTTTTACCCAAGTTGAAGTGTGATCCATGAGTCCATTGTGTATCTGTATTAACAAATAAAAATACATATACGGAAAAACATATATATTATTGACTTTAAAGGTATATTTACTTTTATTATGGATATATTCAACTTTATCTCGCCTTGGACTTCCCCGGCCATCACAAGATCAAGCGAACCTAATTTGTATTATTCCTGATGTACTTAAATAGTTAGGCACATTAAATTTTAGTTCAGAGAGAAAACGTATTTTTGGCCAAAAATCCTAATTTTTTGTCATTTTCGGCCAAAAATGGATTTTGTTCAAAATTTCAGTATAGGTACTCCTGAATGTGCTGCTTAGATCTGTTAACCAAAATTTGATATCTTGATTATAACTTGTTCAAATGGCTTTTAGAAAAATGTTCAAATGATTTTTTAGAATAGGTATATATATATATATATATATATATATATATATATATATATATATATATATATATATATATATTTATTGAAACATGCAAACATTTCTATAAATTTGGGGGCCCACTGATGAGTTTGGCCTGGGGCCCACAAGTAGGTAAATCCGGCCCTTTCGCTATTGCTGTCCCCTCAGTTCACATTCACGTTAGTTTCTTGGTTTTCAGGAACATCTGGGTCTGCAGTGCTGGTGTCTGTGATGGCACCCAGGCCGACGCCCACACCAGGTGGTCCCAGGCTCTCCCGGGCCCCTACGCCAGGTGTGTTGAGGGATAGGCTGAGGGCTGCATAAACCTAATCTCTAAAATTAAAATTGGTTACAGAAAAATGTCACACTACTTAACCTAACTTGTTGCTTGTTTGGGGATTTCTGGAATCTAATGCTAGCCTGACCTGATCTGACTTAATGCAACCTAACCAAAGTCACTGTAAATTTCTTTTCAAACATTGACTGATAAAAGTTACAGCAGAGTATAATATTTAAAGAATTATTATTATTACATATCCAGTGTAGAGTGTTGTCATCAGCTTAGAACACAACATGAATCTTTTAGTGTTGTTCTTTCCCCCAGGCATCCAGACATTGGTGGTGTTGCCTGGTGGGGACCTGCTGGTTGGGGACCTGGGTGGTTCACTGCGGGCCTACCGTCAGCTTCCAGATGTGAAGGAAGATGGGCGACCTGTATGTGCTGGCCCCCCTCGTGCCCACGGAACTGTCAAGTATACACACCCAAAGGATCCCACCAGACCGCTCCTCGCCCAGGTACAACACTTACGTATATGGTGGGAGTTAACTTATGGTCTTTATAAAGTATGGCTGTCTTAATATGGGGATGTGTATTGTTGTGTATTAAAGCTTGTAAGCATCAGTCTCTTCCCACCAGGTTTTTCATCAGTTATGCCCTCTCTCTCTCTCTCTCTCTCTCTTTCCATCATCTAGCAAGGGTGTCAAACTCATTTGCCAAGGCGGGCCAGATTTATTATGAGTACACAGTATGCGGGCCAAGTAACATAATTATGAGCACTTCGCAATCACCTCTTAGGTGAGTATTACGACAAAATAAGAAAGGTGGATTTAGTCTGCCCTCGTGTGAAACCCTTAAAAACAAACAAATCAAGTGTTTACTTACCTTGATCAATCTTATTGTTTGCTACTGCTGCTTCCTGATAATTGGCCTCTTGGTATGGACCAGTGCATCAAAGTTTGGCACTAACGACTGAGCTGTAGCAACCTTCAGTGTTGAATTAAGGTGCACCTCAGTAAGTTGAGACCGAGGCCGAGACTTGTTCAAGTTCATCACAGAAAAGAGTTGTTCACAGACATATGTACTTCCGAACATTGACATAATCTTTGAGGCAAAATATTTAATCCCGGGATAATTTGGTCCAAAATATTGATAAAATGTGCCAACATCAACACTCGAAAACTTGTTCCTCAACACAGACTCACATTGGAGCTCATTGGTGATGTTGATTGAGTATATTGTTCTAGGAGACAGCGGACTATTTTATTCAGCTGAGGGATACACTCGCTATTTAGTTTTGGCCCCTCAAGGTGAGGCTGGAGCAGCAAATGGGCCGCATGCAGGAGTGTGTCGGGCCGCATGTTTGACGCCCCTGCGCATAGTTGATGAGTAATTAGCATTGAAAAATGTCAGTAAAATATTTCAAGGGTCATTTTGGCCACTAATTACTCTGCAATCGAATCGTGGACCACATATTCATAATCAGCAAGCTCAGGAGTACCCATACTGTGATTTTCAGCAAAATCTAATTTTTGGCTTAAAACCACAAAAAATGTAAGTCTTATACCCTACAAAATTTTTGACCCAAATATAATTTTTTCTCAGAATTGAAATTTAAGGGGTTTAACTAATTAAGTACTTTCAGAAGAACACACAAACCCTAAATCACACCTTGGAAACCTATAGTTATTCTACATATTCTAATCCTTCTGACCTTCGCCAGTGACCTTAATTATTATTTCTCACAGCCTCAATACTTTCCTCTCATTATCTCTGTAACAGCTATGGTCACTGGACGTTGGGGCCACTGTGACATCGGTCAGTGTGGTTGGGCGGGAAGTGGTCTTGGGAACCATTAACTCTGAGATGTTCCAGGTTCACCTCCCAGCTCCCACCACCCACCAACCCTCTTCCAGAGTCCTGCCTCTCTATAAGACAAATGGATGTATGAGAAAAGCAAATAACTCTGGCAACAGTGAATCAGTGGGCAGTAAAAACACAGATAAAAAAAATAACAAAAGACTATCAAGATTATCTGACCGTCTTCAGGAGATCAGACTGGATGTGATGCCACTTGAGGCCCATCTTCTGTCAACCTGTCATTCAGAACCCATTTATGATGTCACTTTTCCCAGGTGAGTAACACAGGAGAATAGATTGTTATATATATACTGTACTAAGTGATCTTGTACTGATGATCCTTCACTGAAAGATATTGTAAATTAAGGGATTTAGAAAATTCATAAAAATTGCCTCTGGAGCATAATAAATAATCTTAGAAAAATACAATATGTAATTCTGTAGCAGAAACTATAAAAAGGGATATTTATTAGCAAAATATATTACCTGTACTTGAATGTATGGTTTTTGGCCTCGGCTTGTCCCACAGTACCAATAGTGAAATATTTAAGGACATAAAAATACTGTACTGTATTGACAAATTTAAGTGGAATACCCAGTTTTGCCAAAAACCCCTTTCCCTTCAGGTTGGACAGTAAGGCTTTTAAGGGATTGCCAAAGAATATGGCATGATCCTACGGGACTCCTGAGGGCTGAGGAGGAGGCTTTGCATTGATGTATCCTCTTTTAGGGGTGTGGGTGAACTGGTGGTGAGCGCGGGTGTAGGGGGCATACGTGTGTGGAATGTCAGGTCCTTGGAGGAGGTGCTGAGGGTGGAGTTGCCCGGCCTTGTGTGCTGTTGCTGCTCCGTCACCCCCACACTCAACACAATTGTCACAGGTAGTGTTGTACACACACAGTGGGCATGTACAGTACTCAATAATACACACTCATAGGAAAGCACAACTATATAATTGGGCAGACAGTGTTATGTTGCTAAGATTTATGACCATGCACATAGAAACTCCTTTGCACATTCCTGCAATATGAATACTGTACATAGGCCCAGATATGTACACAACCTATTGTATTTGTAACTTCCACCCCATACACACACCATCTTGCTCTCCCTGCTTTTGTATTCACTTGACCCAGCAGTATATCGGTACTTTATATCCCTCATAAATGTTCACTTACTATTTAGTGCACTCACCTTAAAACCCCTTCTTATGGATGTGTCTTAGTCTAGGCAGGTACATCTTCCTTATTGATCAGCAGAATTAATAATGCCTATGTCAGCATCCTGAAAACACACACTGCATTCCCATCTGAAGCCTCCTCGGGTCTCTGCACTTTTCTGCAACTCTCTCTCTCTCTCTCTCTCTCCTGATTAATTACTGTACTTGGAATGCTCTCAATTATTTGTACTTAACTTGACACCACTACTCCTCCACATGTGCACTCCAGTACCTTCTCTAATGATTAACTGCACTGGTACTGTACCTGGCTCTGTATTTATACTGTACTTGTGTCACACCTACACATGACTCCTCCCCCCCCCCCCTCAGATTGACCGATAACTGTACTTTTGCCTTTGTTAGCATGGGTGTGCATGAACATGCTTATACATTTGTACAGTCAAAGACAAAAGTCATGTCGCGGTTTTGTCCGAAGATTGCGGTAAATATAACTCGTGAAACATTATGAGAGCCCTACCACAAGGCAGAGCGCACCAAAAGTGATAGACCTTCAGCATAAGTTTTCACCAAATTTCACGACACGACTTTTGTCTTTGACTATACATATATGATATATTTATGGCCAAAACCTCTGTATCAGGGTGGAGTGATGGGCGGCTACGAGGGCTGGGGGCAGAGAGCGGGCAGGTGGTGTGGACAGTGGATGACGCTCATCATGGTGGAGTGAACACAGTCATCACGCTCAGAGACGGCCACATCATCTCCGGAGGTCGTGATGGGCGGGTGAGACGCTATGGGGATTTAATATAACCCTGGTTTTGTGTGTGTGTGTTTATTTCTTTTTAATGTGTGTCAAGTCTTGGTTGATGAATGAAGATACACTGCTGTCTGTTGAACTTACTGATAATGTAAAGAAATATGAATGAACAGTTATACAGTGGGACAGTGATGAGACAGTGGCAAGATTAAGTTTAAACTGAAGGTGAGACACTTATGAAGTAGTGGTGAGAAATACTTATGGAGGAGAAATGCATGATGAGACAGATTATTCTAAGTAGGATATAATAATAATAATAATAATAATAATAATAATAATAATAATAATAATAAACGGTTTATTAATAGAGTTGCAGCCGGTGGCTGAAAATATACAAACTTACATTTGATTTAGACAAAATGATATGCGTTGAATACATTTACAGGGCTGTACAGTACATAAATCAGGGGTTGTTTATTATTTTAACAGTAGATGGGATGGTGCTGTTCTTATATCTATCAGTGCGGGCTCTTATGGGCTGAATTTTGTTGTAGTGGCGGACTGCGCGAGGTGGGCGGGGGATTGCCGGTGGCAGGAGGTGGCGATGATGAGGATGGTGCAGTAGTCCACTGCCAATCCTTGCTAGTGCTTGGTGGTGGAGGTCACTGAGGGATGGTATTTCCAGGGTGGAGAGAGCGTTGTTGTAGCCGGAGTAGTCTGCGCCGAGCATGATTCTGCAGGCCCTCTTCTGTACCTTCTGTGTATGAGATAAGGGATGAGATGGGGGGATGAAATTTTATCATAAAATAAGTCTGTAGTAGAAAGATTTAGGATGATAACAGTTAGACCACAACTTGTATGGGCAGGTTAGGAAGTGTGCAGTATACCCTCACTCTGCACCAATTACTGTACCTAATTCTCTGAACTTGTGGCAGGTGAGAGTGTGGGTAGTGGAGGGGTTAGGGGTGCGTATGGAGGCCTCACAGAAGGAGCACCGCGGAGAAGTGACACATCTGGCCCTCTCCTCCTCTGAGAAGCGGGTCCTTTCATGCAGTGGTGATGGTTCCTCTATCCTCTGGCAGCTGCCGTAAGTATTTGTTTTTTCTGTCTTAGAAACCACAAGGCCTCCGATACCATGGAACAAGTATCCACTATACTGCCCTTTAGTGTGATCACTCAATTCTAGGGGTAATCAACTTACGGTCACTGCCACCATACCACAGGACAGTATGTGTAGTGTTCTTTAGGTAACTGACAGAGCAATCCAGGCACTGTGAGTTCATGTTTTTCATGAGAGTTGAGAGTGCTAGGAAAGGCGAAACACTAAACAAAAATTTAACTACTTTATTTCTTAATATATAAAAAATATTGCATTCGGTCACAATACAAAACTAGTTGACCTTCCGCAAGCCATTATTAAGGTCACTACACCACAAAAATAGCAGACCTTCTCCAAATAATTAATTAAAGTCTTCTCTCTCCATAATAAAATCATTGACCACCTTACCTAGGTCATTCCTTCCCCAATATCACCCACAATATCCAATAGCACAGACACACCCAATAGCATCTGATTAAGGAACATTCAATAATATCCACCATACACACAGATACTTCAGCTCATTCTTAGCACCGAGGTACACACTAGGTACACGTTTCACACCCTACTCTTGTTAGGTGGATGAAATCCTTCCCAGGCATTCATACCAGGACTGTTTCTGCGTCTGGTATCATTAGGTCGCTTAGAGTGGCGGCCGTGAGCACCTCAAACAGCACCAGCATTTCTTCACATCCAGGGTGTTGAAGTGTGAGATGTCCAGATATCCATAGTGGAGGTTGTATAGTGGCCATAAGCATTACCCACAACACCAGGTGGGTTCCTCAAAGTAGAACAGTGGATGATTGGCCAAACATTCTCTCCGACCTCACTGGTCTTCCTCCACTCACAGGTGTGTACACCTGCGTGTATGAGAAGCCGAGCGTCACGGAGGACGATGGGGTAGCGTCTCACCCTGACTAGGCCTACTGGTGCCAATGCTTAAATTTCTCCGTCACTTTATTCTGGCCCTCACACATACACTCTCTTATTATTGCGAATTTATGCCTTATAGTTACGTACCTTAATTCTAAATTACATACTACAGTAAGTGTCTGGTTTGTCAGGTTCAGGCAAATTACTTTGGCTATCTCATTACCTCGAAGCTTTAGCGGAGGCCGGTTTAGGCGCCAGACCAAACAAAAACCTTAGTTCTTGGCTTGGGTATACAGTATAAATTTCACTTACTCCCATGTATGGCTCATTCCCCCACACTCTGCAACTGTTCAACACGTTCATAAGATTATCGAATCACTGCACTTTTGTGGTTATTTGTCACATGGGTTAACAATGTGTATTAAGCTCATACTGAGGTACGCAAGATATTTTCCCTGGAGTATATTTTATGGGTCAATTCCAACACTTCACATACGTCCGATACATTTATCCTTTCCCAGATCAGTGTCTCAAATATTTTTACCCGATACCCGAGGCAGCTATGTTTACTAATCGTACACAGACGTAAATACCACAATCTTCAGCCACGGTCACACTTATTCACTATATTGTAATACACTAATCCGTATCAATTGGGCCTTCCCAATCATCATATAGGTACCTTGAGTTCTCCTAAATTGCTATCAGTATACATACTGTACTTAAGATTATATGTACGGATCCTGGTATAGTTCATATAAAACATACAGCATACGAATTACCCCTCTCAAATGTTTAATGTTTTCTGTAACACTTCCCACTAACACAGTGAGTTTGAATGTTATGTAGCTGTAATGTGAATCAGAAGAAATTATAGACAGTACACCACAACCATCGTATAGGTTCTCACTATCTGTGGTTTTAATACAAGGAGGAGGTGGGTACTGTCATGACCAGAAACAACCATCTTTATATAAATACTTGACTAAATAGTGTTCCTCTTGATGTACAGTACAGTATATGTGACTGGCTACCATTTACTTGCATACAAGTAAACTATAACTAACTGTTAAATCCATAATTATAACAGTGAAAAAAAAAATTTTCTCTCTTCATTGTGTATTAAATACAATACTTTACTGTATACTATATACATCTGTTAATGAAAAATGAAATATAAAAACCAAGAGTGAAGAACACAAACAACTGTAAATCTGTTAGTTTAGGAAATGCTATGTGAGAACAAATGGAGATATGAATATTGAAGATATATTTTATGGGACTGAAATTTAAGCATCTATGACAAGACACTGTTACAGGGAACTGGAACGAGTATATAAACTGACAGCCCACACGGTGTTCCTTGGTGGGACTGTACTGACCAGTGGGGAGATGGCCACTGTGGGCAGCGATGGGTCTGTACTGGTGTGGGACCACGAGGATGGAGCCCTGCTGGCGGACCTGCCAGCTTCCACCAGACCCATCACCACCATCACCTCCACCACTGATGACTCTACATTGGTCACGGCGGGGGAAGACGCTGTTGTCAAGGTGAGGCAGACTAATACTGAGAAATACTCACTATTGTTCAACCTGAGAAGTACTTGAAGGTGTCCCTGGGGACGCCACTGCCTCTGGGAGGATCCCTGGGGGGCACTGCCGTCCCTGAGTGGGCTCATGGTGACACCACCACCCCTGGGAGGGTCCCTGGGGGTGCTGCCACCCCTGAGTGGGACACTGGGAATGCAACCACCCCTGGGGACCCTTCGTAGGGTCCCTGGGGGCGTGGTTGCTCTTGGGAAAATTTTCTTGGGGGACCCTGAGATGGTGCCTGGGGGTGCCGCTGGCCCTGGGACGGTCACTGGGATGGTCCCTGGGGACATCGCCGCTCCTGGGAGAGTCCCTGAAGGTCTCACCGTCCTTGGGAGGTGTCACTGGAAGTGCCGCCGTTCCCGGGAGGGTCCCTCGGACCGCCGCCGTTCCCGGGAGGGTCCCTCGGACCACCGCCGCCCCTGGGAGGGTCCCTGGTGCTGCCACTGGAAGGGTCCCTGAGGGCACCGCTGACACTGGGAGGGTCCCTGGGGGTGCTGCCACCTCTAGAATGGTGTGTCTCTATCCCATTCCTAGACTTTTCACCACTGTCAAGACGTGGTTCCCCCTCTTAGTCCGGATCTTCAAGGGTTCACTGTAATTTGCTGTACGTTTATTTTAGTACAGTATTTGAGAATAATTTTGTTACTTTTTACTTTTAGTACTTAAGTACTTTATAAATGAGATACTTTTTACTTCTACTTGAGTAATTTGAACTTTGGATACTTTTACTTCTTCTTGAGTAACATTTTGTCAATGTAACAATACTTTTACTAAAGTAACAAAGTCCTATACTTTTTACAACTCGGTCATAATTTCAGGTCTGGAACTGGAACAAAGGTCGTGTGACTCATGAAGGTCGGGGTCACAGCGGCGCCATCACCAAAGTTAGTCTCTCTCCTGAAGGTGATGTGCTGGTATCTGTTGGTAAGGATGGCGCTTTACTTTTCTGGAAGATACCTTAGGCAATATGTATTTATCTACAATCACTGTCAGGCAGCTGTTGTAAGGCATCGACCATGTCATTGTGTCAAGACTCAAGACCAGGAAAGTCATTAAAATTGTTGGCTGGGGACTGATCTTTTGACAGCTATTCCATCCATTACAATGGTCACTTTAAAAATAGCAGAAATAACTCATCCTTAAAAGACAGGAGGTCTTGTTTAGAACAATGTCTCGGTAACAATAATTTTTGTACCTCGACTGTCTGGCCATCTTCTTGGCTTTCAGGATCAACTCTCACACATGTTTGGTCTGTAGCCCCCCCTCCATGTACACAGCACGTGTTTTACTTACCAGTTACAGATATTACTATTCTCAACTTTTAGTGTCTTATTCTGTATCTCATGAAGGATTATTAAGTTAAAGGTATCACTTTAATAGTACCTGTTAAGGTGCATGTGATACCCATGATATACAACTACCGTCTCCTGGGGCAAAATCCTACCCTATTCTGGGACGGAATCCTACTGTATTATGAGGCGGAATCCTCGGTATTCTGAGGCGGAATCCTACGGTATTCTGAGGCGGAATCCTAATGTGTTCTGAGGAGAATCCTACTGTATTCTGAGGCGGAATCCTACTGTAGTCTGAGGCGGAAACCTACTGTATTCTGAGGCGGAATCCTAATGTGTTCTGAGGCGGAATCCTACTGTATTCTGAGGCGGAATCCTACTGTAGTCTGAGCGGGAAACCTACTGTATTCTGAGGCGGAATCCTAATGTGTTCTGAGGAGAATCCTACTGTATTCTGAATCCTACATATTCTGAGGTGGAATCCCTACTGTATTCTGAGGTGGAATCCTACTGTATTCTGAGGCGGAATCCTACTGTATTCTGAGGCAGAATAGTACTGTATTCTGAGGCGGAATCCTACTGTATTCTGAGGTGGAATCCTACTGTATTCTGAGGTGGAATCCTACTGTATTCTGAGGTGGAATCCTACTGTATTCTGAGGCGGAATCCTACTGTATTCTGAGGCGGAATCCTACTGTATTCTGAGGCGGAATCCTACTGTATTCTGAGGCGGAATCCTACTGTATTCTGAGGCGGAATCCTACTGTATGCTGAGGTGGAATCCTACTGTATTCTGAGGTGGAATCCTACTGTATTCTGAGGCGGAATCCTACCCTATTCTGGGACGAAATCCTACCGTTAGGTCCGGTTTGGCCAAATAGGTCCGGTTGGGGCCAAATAGGTCTGCTGGAGCCAAATTGGTCCGAAGTAGAAAATCATAGAAAACGGGAAATTTGTATCATAGAAACTGGGAAATATCTACTTTCCCGAAAAGTAGATGATCTACTTTTTATGCATGCAACATTTTAGAAATACCCTAGTATGGATATGTATTGTACATGTATACTATGAATGTTAATATATGTGTGTGTGTGTGTGTTGTGAATGACTAATTCTGAGATTGGTCCATGTGTTGTTGACAAACTGTCTGTCATGAATTTTTCTGAAATCTCTACATACTTAATGGATTCACACTAGTGAAGTCTTGCTACTGTATGTTCATCCTGGTGGAGCAGCAGGATGTGTTGCTGACTCGCTATACTGTACTTGCTATCTAGACTAAATTTCAAAGATACTTTAAGAGGTAAATTTTAGTGCTCAGCCCCCACACACATTGGATTCTTTGGTAGTGTTCAGTTAAATATATGTACAGTACTGTACTTAAACTTGCAGAATGTCATGTCAATCTAGAAATTTTATTGAAAGATCTCGTCTCTATATTTTAATTATACTAAATCGGGTATTAACTTCTTGCATCTGTTACCCAAAATGAGAAAAATACTGATAGATTTTATAGGTACAGTAGTGTAATTTATGCATTGTTTCCTAACTGTATTAAATTTTATCCATTATAATACTGTATTAAACTTTACTCTAGCAGGTTGGTGTAATGCTACAGCCTGTACTGTATTAGCAGAGTCTCAATGTCAATTTTGGTGAAAGATTATCTCTGGCCTCAAGGTCCGAGACAACACCCAGAAAACGTTTTTCAGCAAACCCTTCCTAAGGGACGTGACGTGTAACCACAAAGTTCTTGCAAATTATGATTTATCAAACTTAAAGGCTTCAAATTTTATACATGACATAATAAGAAAAACACCAAGTAAAATTGTGGCAGTTACCTCAACCCTGACTTTTCTACACCTTCAATGTGCTATTCTTGCCAAATAAAAACATAACTTTTGTTGATTGTCTTTTATTTAAAAATATATTTAAGAGTAAGCATGTATTACACCTATTATATTTGAAAAGTTAGTTAAAAGAAATTAATGACAGGAAGAAGAGACTGTATGAAGGTCCATCACTGGAGACAAAAACCCTGAGGACACAGAAAATGTGAAATATTTCTACTTTCTGGGAAAGTTGGTTATCTACTTATCATAGAAAATGGGAAATTTGTATCATAGAAAATGGGAAACATCTACTTTCCAGGAAAGTTGGTTATCTACTTTCCTGGAAGGTAGATTATTTACTTTAAGGGAAAGTAGATTATTGACTTTTTGGGAAACATTAACATTTTCCAAAGTAGATTATCATAGAAAACGAGAAATTTTTATCACAGAAAATGTAAAATATTTCTACTTTCTGGGAAAGTTGGTTATCTACTTTCCTGAAAATGGATATCTACTTCAGGAAAGTGAATTATCGAACTTTGGTGGAAGTAAATTACACCGACTTTTGGGGAAATATTAACAAATTTTTCAAAAGTAGATTATCATAGAAACGAGAATTTGTATCACAGAAAATGGGAAATGTTCTACTTTCTAGGAAAGTTCGGTTATCTACTTATCATAGAAACGGAAATTTGTATCATAGAAATAGAAATATCTCTTTCGGGAAAGTTGGTTATCTACTTTCATAGTAGATTATCTACTAAGGGAAAGTAGATTATCGACTTTTGGTGAAATGAAATTACCGACTTTTGGGAAATATTAACAAATTTTTAAGTAGATTATCATAAACAGAAATTTGTATCTGAAAATGGAAATGTTTCTACTTTTCTGGGAAGTTAGTTTTATCTACTTTCCTGAAAAAGTAGATTATCTACTTTTCGGAAAGTAGATTATCGACTTTTAATTGAAATGGGGAATACCGACTTTTTGAAATCATTAACTTATTTTCAAAGTAGATTATCTTAGAAACAGAGGAAATTTGTATCATAGAAAATGGGAAATATTTCTACTTTCTGGAAGAGTTAGTTTATCTACTTTCCTGAAAGTAGATTATCTACTTTTTCCGGGAAATGAATTATCATTTTGGTGAGTAAATTACCGACTTTTTGGGAAATAACTTATTTCAAAGTGATAGATTATCATAGAAAACCTTGAAATTTGTATCTGAAAATGAAGGAAATATTTTCTACTTTCTGGAGGATTATTTATCTACTTTCTGAAAAGTAGATTATCTACTTTTCGAAGTAATTATCGACTTTAGTGGGAAATAAATTACCGACTTTTGGGAAATATTAACTTATTTTCAAGTAGATTATCACCAAAGCAGGAAATTTGTATCACGAAAATGAATATTTCTACTTTCTGGGAAAGTTGGTTATCTACTTATCAAACGGGAAATTTGTATCATAGAAAATTAAATAATCTTTCCGGAAAGTTGGTTATCTGAAAGTAGATTATCTACTTTTCGTGAAAGTAGATTACCATTTCGGAAAGTAGAAATACCATTTTCTGTGATACTAAATTTCCCGTTTTCTACCTCGATATCTTCTTGAAAATAAGTTAATATTTCCCAAAATTTGGTAATTTACTTTTTAAAATTCGATAATCTACTTTCCCGGAAAGTAAATAATCTACTTTCAGAAGAAACAATAACTGTTTTCGGAAAAGTAGATATTCTCCCATTTCTATGATAAATTCCGTTTTACTGATAAATAGATAACCAACTTTCCCAGAGGTAGAGTATTTCCCATTTTCTGTGATACAAATTTCCCCGTTTTCTGCAAATAATCTGAAAATGAGTTAATGTTTCCCAAAGAGTCGATGATCTTCACCAAAGATCGATAATCTACTTTCCCGGAAAGTAGATAATCTTTTTTCAGGAAGTAGATAACCAACTTTCCCGGAAAGTAGATATTTCCCATTTTCTATGATACAAATTTCACGTTTTTATTCCTGAAATTTCCCGTTTTCTATGATAATCTACTTTGGAAAATATGTTAATATTTCCCAAAAAGTCGGATAATTTACTTCCACCAAAAGTCGATAATCTACTTTCCCGAAAAGTAGATAATCTACTTTTCAGGAAAGTAGATAACCAACTTTCCCGGAAAGTAGATATTTCCCATTTTCTATGATACAAATTTCCCGTTTTCATAAGAAATAGATAACCAACTTTCCCAGAAAGTAGAAATATTTCCCATTTTCTGTGATACAAATTTCCCGTTTTCTATGATAATCTACTTTGAAAAATAAGTTAATATTTCCCCAAAAGTCGGTAATTTACTTCACCAAAAGTCGATAATCTACTTTCCCGAAAAGTAGATAATCTACTTTTCAGGAAAATGATAACCAACTTTCGGAAAGTAGATGTTTCCATTCTATGATACAAATTTCCCGTTTTCTATGAAGTAGATAACCAACTTTCCCAGAAAGTAGTATTTCTCCCATTTTCTGTGATACAAATTTCCCGTTTTCTGTGATACTTTGAAAATTTGTTAATATTTCCCAAAAAGTCGGTAATTTACTTCCACCAAAAGTCGATAATCTACTTTCCCGAAAAGTAGATAATCTACTTTTCAGGAAAGTAGATAACCAACTTTCCCGGAAAGTAGATATTTCCCATTTTCTATGATACAAATTTCCCGTTTTCTATGAAAGTAGATAACCAACTTTCCCAGAAAGTAGAAATATTTCCCATTTTCTGTGATACAAATTTCCCGTTTTCTATGATAATCTACTTTGAAAATAAGTTAATATTTCCCAAAAAGTCGGTAATTTACTTCCACCAAAAGTCGATAATCTACTTTCCCGAAAAGTAGATAACCAACTTTCCCGGAAAGTAGATATTTCCCATTTTCTATGATACAAATTTCCCGTTTTCTATGATAAGTAGATAACCAACTTTCCCAGAAAGTAGAAATATTTCCCATTTTCTGTGATACAAATTTCCCGTTTTCTATGATAATCTACTTTGGAAAATATATTAAGTCGGTAATTTCTTCCACTTCCCAAAAGTCGATAATCTACTTTCCCGAAAAGTAGATAATCTACTTTTCAGGAAAGTAGATAACCAACTTTCCCGGAAAGTAGATATTTCCCATTTTCTATGATACAAATTTCCCGTTTTCTGATAAGTAGATAACCAACTTTCCCAGAAAGTAGAAATATTTCCCATTTTCTGTGATACAAATTTCCCGTTTTCTATGATAATCTACTTTGAAAATTTGTTAATATTTCCCAAAAAGTCGGTAATTTACTTCCACCAAAAGTCGATAATCTACTTTCCCGAAAAGTAGATAATCTACTTTTCAGGAAAGTAGATAACCAACTTTCCCGGAAAGTAGATATTTCCCATTTTCTATGATACAAATTTCCCGTTTTCTATGATAAGTAGATAACCAACTTTCCCAGAAAGTAGAAATATTTTACATTTTCTGTGATAAAAATTTCTCGTTTTCTATGATAATCTACTTTGGAAAATGTTAATGTTTCCCAAAAAGTCAATAATCTACTTTCCCTTAAAGTAAATAATCTACCTTCCAGGAAAGTAGATAACCAACTTTCCTGGAAAGTAGATGTTTCCCATTTTCTATGATACAAATTTCCCATTTTCTATGATAAGTAGATAACCAACTTTCCCAGAAAGTAGAAATATTTCACATTTTCTGTGTCCTCAGGGTTTTTGTCTCCAGTGATGGACCTTCATACAGTCTCTTCTTCCTGTCATTAATTTCTTTTAACTAACTTTTCAAATATAATAGGTGTAATACATGCTTACTCTTAAATATATTTTTAAATAAAAGACAATCAACAAAAGTTATGTTTTTATTTGGCAAGAATAGCACATTGAAGGTGTAGAAAAGTCAGGGTTGAGGTAACTGCCACAATTTTACTTGGTGTTTTTCTTATTATGTCATGTATAAAATTTGAAGCCTTTAAGTTTGATAAATCATAATTTGCAAGAACTTTGTGGTTACACGTCACGTCCCTTAGGAAGGGTTTGCTGAAAAACGTTTTCTGGGTGTTGTCTCGGACCTTGAGGCCAGAGATAATCTTTCACCAAAATTGACATTGAGACTCTGCTAATACAGTACAGGCTGTAGCATTACACCAACCTGCTAGAGTAAAGTTTAATACAGTATTATAATGGATAAAATTTAATACAGTTAGGAAACAATGCATAAATTACACTACTGTACCTATAAAATCTATCAGTATTTTTCTCATTTTGGGTAACAGATGCAAGAAGTTAATACCCGATTTAGTATAATTAAAATATAGAGACGAGATCTTTCAATAAAATTTCTAGATTGACACGACATTCTGCAAGTTTAAGTACAGTACTGTACATATATTTAACTGAACACTACCAAAGAATCCAATGTGTGTGGGGGCTGAGCACTAAAATTTACCTCTTAAAGTATCTTTGAAATTTAGTCTAGATAGCAAGTACAGTATAGCGAGTCAGCAACACATCCTGCTGCTCCACCAGGATGAACATACAGTAGCAAGACTTCACTAGTGTGAATCCATTAAGTATGTAGAGATTTCAGAAAAATTCATGACAGACAGTTTGTCAACAACACATGGACCAATCTCAGAATTAGTCATTCACAACACACACACACACACATATATTAACATTCATAGTATACATGTACAATACATATCCATACTAGGGTATTTCTAAAATGTTGCATGCATAAAAATTTTTATGATAATTTTTGATAATGTTCTTCACATTATTTTTAAAGAGTTGTAGTGGATGAGGAAGCATGTCTAGTACTGAACATTGCCATCACATACTGATACACTAGAGAGAAGTTTTGTTGGAATAAGGAATTTGCCCATAAATTATGAAAATGTTAGTTCCCACCCAGTTTCTGTACAGGAAATACTGTACATGTTAATGAATCACAATCTTGTGTTTGACTGTTATGTGCTGCTGGCCTCTCTAGCATCGACATTATCCTATTCTTTCTTCAGGAAGGATAAATTCTTCACAAATGTATGTACAGTAGTCCTGAATTGCATTTCTCCTCTTGTTAAGTTGATCTTTAATTTGTTTATTAAACACCAGAGACCCAGCCAGGATTACTAGACCATTCAGCCTGACTCCTCCATGACTATCAGAACTTCTGTGACTGTCTTCCTTCCACCATCCATGAACTAATATTTTTGTTTTTACTTTACAAGTGAAATGCATTGTGAAACTTTACAGGAATAATTCCCTTAAGTTGTGTCACAAATATACCTATTTTTTCCCTTAAGTTGTGTCACAAATATACCTATTTTGATGATGTTCTGCCAGTGGTTGTATTATTTGAGGAGAACCGGTCTTCTAATGTTGGATGGTTCAAGGATGAAGTACTGTACTTATTAAAACTCTTTTGGTCTTTTATCAGTAAAGTTCAATATTAAACACTCTGAAAAAATTTGACAAGGTATTGGATAATTTTTTTATATTTAACACTCATTAGTTAAGATTAAGTGTGAAAAAAATACTTTAAAGTTTATACCCATCCATTCACGGTCCAAGAATACTGTATAAACAAATTTATAAAGTAATTAAGTTTTAAATAAATTTCCTTCCATTTCTAAAGTTGAAGAATAAATATATAAGTATATTTTCAACTACAAAAAGGCAAACAATTTTAACCATGAAAGACTCTACTAATTTTCATGAAATACTGTATTTATATTTTTACTTTCAATTAAGGCACATAATTACGGAAAAAAAGGAGTTTGATCGCTCACCTTTCTTACATACCAATAAAATATACTGTACAAGCAGAAGCATCTTCACTGCCAATAACCATCAACACAGGAATTTAGTAACTAACCAAATTCTATCAATATGATTCAGTAACAGTGGCAAACACGATTTTGATAGGAAATGGAGGGGGGTGGGGATGGTGGGGTGGGGAGGGTTAGAAGGGAAGGGTGAGGAGGGGGAGGATAAGGAGAGCGGAGGGGGAAGGGTAAGGAGGCAAGCTATGGTAACAGCACTTTAAAGTTCTGTTACCTTGAATTTTTATTACAATGTCTAAACACAAATTCTGCAAATAATAGAAAGATCCACCCTCGATGGGCTCTCGAGTTTGTAATGACAGAAAAATTAAAACCCAATTATTGCCATAATGTCATTGGGGCCAAGAGCACATGTGATCCTTCACCAAACCATCCATGTGCCTGAGTGTCAAACCTTATTGTTAGTGAAGTCCCAAGAAACAGTTGATGTAACTTCTTTCCAACATTAAAACTTAGAGGGAAAAAAAATTTCTACCAGAATATACAGATATACCCTCCTGAATATACTGCATTGCCAATACGGACATGGTGGGGAAGAATGTACGATGCGAGTAAATATAATAATTCCCTCCATTGAACAACTTTACCTGGCGGTGTTTTGTAGTGCTTTAGAAACCCAGACCCACAAATTACACGGATCAATATTCTACTGTACTTGGGCAGCTGTCACCTGTACAAAAGATTGTCAGAAACTTGAAACTTACTGTATAAACCTAAATAAAATCCTTAAGTAATAATTCACCAATAAAGTATCACAAAGTTAATACAGTACAGTAATTATAAAACCTACACAAAGTTAAATATTCAACCAAAATGATCAAGTAAAAGTTAACATTAAACCATAAATTATCATATTTCCACATGAAGGTAAAACTTACAAGTACAGGATGACAGATACAAAGAAACACAAAACTTACATTAACATTACAAGCAACAATATATATGTACCAAATATAACTTCAAAATTTATATTTTACAGACTATTGATTGATTGGTGTGTGGTTGTGGTAACAACAATGTATTTCAACAGTCCCTTCACACTCAGTACTGTATTACTGCTGGTGGAACCCTCTGGTGCTCCAATGGTACAAGGACACAGTTTCTCGACTGTTAGTGACGCTTCTAATCGAGTTTCAGCCCAAGATCTATAAACACCTAGACCCTAGCAATATATTTCGTACTTTTGGGGAAAAAGTGAAAGTGGGTCCTGTAGGCCTCACTGCCTATTAGGGGTGGATACAGTACACTGTACACCAAGCCTTTTATTGGTATATAAGGAGACGGTGTCCAGCACTGTACTCCACTGCATCTTCCTTTCCCAACTTTTAAGTCAGGAATCAACAACAGTTAGACAAAGTGGTTGGAGGTACTGTTCCCTGGACATGGACCACAATCCTTATAACAAGAGCTAAGCATTGTGTACATAAAACTAACAATTAAATGCCAGAGAGAGTAGAAAGCTGCCAACACATTTGCTTAATTTTTTTAAACACATCATTTAGAATATATTTTGGGGAGCAAAAAGTTACAAACCCAGCTTGCGATGTTTTCAATGTATTAACTTTCCTACTTTACCATTGCTTTTAAATAAAGATTTAATTGTCTCCATTTTACATAACTTAATTTTAAAATTAAAAGAATATTGAAAATATTCCTCTGATTTCTGACAAAATGAAGTACTACTGTACTGTACTAAAATACCTTTGTAACAAGAGGAATACACTTCTCTTATTTCACATACTGTAACAGCTCTTCAATATCTACAGAAACATTCTTTGTAACTACCAAATTTTACTTTCAACACAATGTTCACAAAACCAAAACTACTTCCAGTTTCTGCAATACAGTTAATGAGTATCATTAACATATCCTATTATTGAGTCTTCAGTCAATACAAAGAGTGTTCATTAACGCCCCACGCTAGGGTGCCGCCGGCCGTACCCCCAACGCGGGTAAAACGAGAAAAATCAACTTTCCCAAACATAAGTTTTAACCTTTAAAAATGTTAAAACAATAAAAAATACACAAGAAAAACTATATATTGTCCCTCTAGAAACTTCCGTGGTACCTCAGTGACGAGGGTTTTTTTTTTCGGGAGCGCTGGCTGTCACTATGCACTTGGGGGTAATTTTCCCGCTTGCCTGTGTCAGAGATGGCCAATAAGGCATATACTTACTGATCATATTACTTATTTCCTATAAATAATTCATTTAGAATATTTTATTTACACCATTTTTCATAAAAGTGCTCGGCAACACACACGCAGGCTGTCTGGTTGTCTTTGTGTTTGGTAGAGCAAATAATGCATATAAAATAAACTTGCATTCAGGAAGCTTCCCTGTGGCCGAGTGTGTGGCATGACATGCAAAAAGTCACACTGGTACCTAATAACCCGAGCAGGGGATTTAAACAGTGGCGGGAAAAGGCGAGCGTTCTGAAACGTCACCCGGGACGTGCCAGTCCGGCATTCTGGAACGTCACCCGGGATGTAAGGGTTAATACTGTATTACCTCATTCACATAGAGTGGTGTGGCTACACTGAAACATCATAGCCTTTACTCTTTTTAAATAAAATTGCAAATCCATCTTTAAAACACCACCACAAACTGTTTATCTTCCAATATTTCAATAAAAACAAGAGGGCTTAAGCTTTATGCACACCAATACTCCTAAAATACAAGAAAATAATCCTACCACCACACACACACACACCAATTGAATTAATATATCAAAACATTTAAGTTCCCAGCTCAACAATAATACACTACACTGTATATTCACATGGGTCAATCCTCATTGTTATATCAATAAAAAATAATCCAATATTATAAAAAAAGGGGCTGAAATTTAATATTTTTATCACTCGCTTCCATTCTAATAAATTACGAATAAAAATCTGCATCTGTTTAATAGCACTCTTTCCTCCTAAACTGAACTCCCCCCACATAACACACACGGCACATTTGTTATACGCTCATTAATATTGTAAAAGAGACAAGTACAGAACTGTAGTTTTTGATTATTACAACTTTAATATTGTGAAATGTCAAGGTTCTCATCTTGTTGGTTCAGCCATGACTTTGACGACAAACAAAAACTATAGTACTGTAGTAGTACAGTGCTCAGATGGTGTACAAGTACTGCACTATAGTGTTATTGTTCAGGTGGTGTACAAGTATCTGTACTGTACTTTAGCTTTGGTTTGTAGTAAAAAGTTATAATGTTTCCTGATACAGGAATTTATAGAATCTTTTCAGTTTGAGTATAGTAACACTGATGTACAGTACAGTACCAACATGGCAAGCCACTTACAAGACACTCCTCAACAAAAGTTGTAACTGGTAACGAGGAATAAACCCACATGTAAATTTACAGTAAAGCTAAAGATTCCATTTGTTCATTACATTAAGGGTCTATTTAACAGATTAACTCTTTGAACACTGTAGAGTGAACTGATGAAAAAACCAAGTATAAAAATGCAAAAAAAAAATATACAGTACAGTATGTATATATTAATACTCACATCATAGTCATTTAAAGCTATTCACTAAATCGGTGCAGAAAACTAATTACAATTGTTATTTATTCAATGAGAAAATAAAGAAGCACATTATAACACTAATAATTGGAGTAAACTCTAAATCAATTCTCGTTAAACTACAGACAATGCAACAGATTCTCGCATACTGAAGACCGCTGGAATATTGTACAGCATATAATTGTGTTTTTATTTTACCAGCTGTTGTTGGTGCAGCAGAACAATGGAAAAGTAATCCACACAAGACTGAACACATGTTAATACTGTTCTATGAAACACTAAAAATAATTTATTATTAATATTTACCTAAAATTTACTTTAGAAAAATCCACTTCACCCTTTTCCCCCCAACATGTAGGAAGTTTAAACTTAGCTGATAGCACTGCTGTGGCCGAGACCTCCACCAGCTTTCCTTGGCCACAGGAGTGATTGTTTCTTGGGTTGTAAATCCACAGCTCTATTGTACCAAGTGAGCAATTTAATGGATTTTTCGAATTTTTTAAATTATTGTACCTTCTTCATTAATTTTAAACTATCCCAGATTAAATTCACAAATCAGTTTCTCACAGTTGAACATTAAAAAAATCAAAGAAAAAAACTGGAAAATAAAACTAATTTGAATATCCGATAGAAGAAGCAAAAGTGACAGACAATAACTTAGTTAAAATGTGTGACAATAAACCATACAATAGGTTGTTAAAATCACTTGCACTCTTTATTCATGGTCTATAAGTTGTTTATGTCACTTTAATCCCAGGAATGACATAGTATAAGTTAGTGTCTCATATTAGGGTTTACCTTTACACTCTTTTCTCCTCAAGATAGTTTGGTATGACAAATGAGATGATTTTTACTCCCTACACAGCAGGATAATGTCTTCCTGCCAAAAGAAATCTCACACCAGCAGCTGTTCCGAGTTTCTTTTCATAATCAGGAAAGCAAATGAATTTATGATTATTGTCAAAATATGAGATAGTACTGTACTGTATTTAGTTTCCTGCATCACACAACTTGAATACAGTGAAAGGTCATATTGTGGTTACAGACACATTACAAGTCAAGCCACGACACACAGGAATAAATATTGTAGGCGAGGTTCCCCTGCACTCATCATCTATTGGAGAAACTTATGTACTGTATATGGAGTAAAAATCTCATTTGAAACCTTAAAATCTTTAAAAAAAAATTCCCTCTGTATTTAACATTGTTTAATTATAAAAATGCCAGAATATTTGAAGAAAACTATTGCTAATTTTTTTTCATAATTTTTCCTTTTAAATTACAAACTGTTTAGAACTGACAGAATAATTTAACTTAGAAGTGTCCGTAGACTTGGAGCGAGGCGAACAATACGTATATCAACCACAGAGAAATTAATATTGCTCCAGAAATATACTTTGCTGCTGCTGGACCTCCCAGTTCTGCCTTTCCACACACAGCAAGAACTCTGGAAAAGACAAAAATATATATCAAAACAACACTGACATCCTTTACTGTTATAAATACAGTACATGATCATTATTGTACACACAACTGTTGCCAGGCATCAACACTGTAATGGTTTACTGAAAGTTTCACAACTGTAATGGTTTACTGAAAGTTTCACAACTGTAATGTGAATTTTATTTCTAAAGATGACTCTTCTTCTTGTTAAACTTTCCTGCTAAGGTTAACATTCTCAAAAGATGGATGACTGAGTATGGGAGCCACAAATTTTTGTTTCCATTAAATTTGTTATCTTGGCACTAAATGCACACCTCACACACAGTACCACCTGGTAACCTCACACACAGTACCACCTGGTAACCTCACACACAGTACCACCTGGTAACCTCACACACAGTACCACCTGGTAACCTCACACACAGTACCACCTGGTAACCTCACACACAGTACCACCTGGTAACCTCACACACAGTACCACCTGGTAACCTCACACACAGTACCACCTGGTAACCACACACACACCGCATCATCTGGTAATCTCAAACCCTCAACACGGAGTTATGACTCACCTTCTGACCATGAGAATAGCAATAGCCACAATACACAGTCCTGTGAAGAGGCCCACACTAAATCCAAGACTGCCAGCCTTAACTATAAACTTGGTTTTCTGAAACACAATGAAAGAAGCAAGAACTGTAGAATAACATGTAATAATAACTCGTTAAATCAAAATAAAACAAGTGTGATTAAACTTAGCCCCTGGAGACTGTTAAATAAGACCAAATATGTGATACTGTGTCCCCATATTATTGTAAGTGTCAACTACACAAGTGAAGATCTGTTGAAACTATTCTCAATATATTATTAAAACTTGGCTGCCATCATCAGCAATCATTTATCAACATCACACCAATCATATTCATCTAAATGTTTTATTAAACTATTAGGTAACACTTGTAGATTACTTAAATAAATATTGTTTCCCTCCTAACACCAACAAGTGAGCGTCAGTATAAAAATTGACGACTTAAAATGTAAATTACCTAAAAATTTAATGAAACCATAATTAATCAATAAACAAAATTTAGTGATAGCTAACAATAAAAATGTAATACAAGAATTGTCTTCATCATAACCTAATACTCTTCTGACTGATTACTTATACTGTATAGTACTGTAAATCTGAAAACAAAAGAGTGCAAAGGAGATTCTGAGGATGTGTCAGTACATTACTAAAATACAGGATTATGTCAATATTATATTCAACCTATTTTAAACCAATAATCTCACGTATAGATACAAAACACCATTTTTTTTTATATATGATGATTGACTAGCAAGTTTTTTCTCGTCTTGGGAGACTTTCACCCGAGGAATGTGTTGTATCAGGTGGGCAGACATTTTGCGACTGAACAATTCATCACTGCTCTATTGAATACAGTTACATTTACAAAATTTAGATAATGTCTTTATTTTAGAGGTGATAAAACCATGATTAGTTAGGTTTGTACTGAACTGATGACAATAAGTTCTGTTTATAATATTTTTGAGTTTAAGTTTTAAAATGGGTCAGATAATTTACACACCCAGTACAAGGCAATTTGTTTAGTCTGGTCATCACTTACTTGAGTCGCGTGGTAAATGGCCGCAATAAACCAGGGGAGACCAAGACCGAGAAACACATTCACCGAGTTACTGCCGGTCACGTTGCCAACAGCATTGTCGGCATATTTCTCTTGAATTGCGGCCGACTTGGATGCAAAAGTGTCAGGCAGTGAAGTTCCCAGTGCCACAAAGGTGATTGCTGTAAAAATCAATGACATTAAAATTATTTCATGGGGAGAGAAGGAGAAACTTTCTTCTATACTTATTTCTTTACTTCTCCCCTTGTTATCAATACTATAGTTATAAACAGTAATATCCAGATTGTTGTATGACCGGGCTGGAGATTCTCTAGTAATTATAATCTCATTAATAACACTCAAGTGAATGTTGTGTCAGCTCAATGGTGAGGCTGTTGCCATGACAAGTGATGACAATGGTGTTTCAGTGTTTGTATATGTTCATTCGAGACATGTACACTTGTCAATCCGAATTTTCTTACAAAAAGCTAACATAATAATGGAGAATACTTAGAAACAAGTGATACATCCCAACAACTGTCCAACACTGAAACTGACTCGCTGTTGGTTGAGGGAAGCCAAGTACACCATACACGACAACTGTCTGGTGATAAGGTGGTCAACTTCTTGTACTAACGACATTAGTCTTTCATATACTAACAGTAATCTAATTATTCCCGCCAATAAAATGTATAATCAAATCAATAATAAAAATGACCCTTAAAACCTTTAATATTGTTTCATTTCCTGCTGGTTATGCCACACATGAAACAAGAACAAACAAGTATATGTCATGGGGGACTTATGGAAGCTGGCACACACAAGTTTTTTAACAATTACTACACACCTTTGGAAGTAACTTAATCAAGGAAATTTAATGAGTAAATACTAAATATTATACCGTATGCTGATGAAAAATCAAAAGCATTTTAATTAGAAGATGTTGATTTATATTAAAAAGTATAATAAGTGTAAATTACATAAACAAAAACAATTGAAGTAAACATACCAGTGACGGAGTCCTTGAGGCCCACAAGACAACCAAAGATGGAAGCCAAGTCACCAATAATGGCAGTTAACAGACCAATCACTCCTAGAGACACAAAGAAGCACAACCAACCACCGAAGATGCTCGGGGGCGGTACCAGAGAGAAGATTATCTGAGGAAAATACAGTATTGTTAGAGGTACGAGGTCAGACACGGTGTATACGTATCTACTGCACTGTGGGGTCAACTTTGAACCCTTAATAGTTTATCTCCCCAAACACACCAAACCAAAACAAAATGCAAGAGATCTTGAGTTATTATCTTACCTTCCACCCAAAGGTTAAGAAATGCATAAAATAATCCATTCCAGTTGCATTTTCCACATCTCCACCATTAACGTTGAGGGCATCTTTGATCTGGCCGAGATAAGTCTCGTGATGAACTTGCATGGCGTGGACATTAGCATTGGTCAGTATCATCATGTTGGACAAAACATTGTTAAAGTCTGGAAAAAAAGAGAAAAATTACAATTTCATAGACAACGGATTATAACTTTTTATTCTATAGTTTTAATTTTTTGGTCATATAATGCAGACTTCTAAAATATCTTTAATACCATATCAATATTTTTTTTAATAAATCGAGTTTACCGAAGCTGTAACTAACCGTCATCGTTGGTGATGGTGACGGCAGTACGGTTTATCTGACCCAATTTGGCACCGCCTTCTGCGTCAAAGAGTTCTACCTCAAAGTGTTCATCCTTCTCTGGGGTCATGTCGTCCATGATCGGGATCTCAATGTTTTGTATAGTCTATTGGGGCATAAAATGAAACACAGTAAGTTAGGTTAGGCCATAAGTTAGACTACAGTAGTTATAATGTTTTCACTGGATTAGTTGTAATGTTTTCACTGAATATCCTTAGTTGAACTGCCTACCGTTTAAGATTAGTTGTACACCCGCATTGTCTAGGTACATTGGAAACTGCAAATATGAATGGTCTATGTGCACTATATATCAATGTTGTCTATAGCCATGCTTAACTGCGTAACTGCAGTATCTATATACAAGTGCAAACTAAACCAATTGTAAACTTGTATGACAATTTTACTGAATAAATATCTATCCATGTAAGACCTTTCCAAGTACTGTACAGTATACAAGAACCAAGTGACACACAGACCCTCTCTTAGTTCATTCTCACCACTGGTAACACATGTGTATTGTTCTGGTGCTCACCATTGCCATCGCCATAATCTCCTCAGTGCTACATTCTCCTCTCATTCACACACACTTATACTGTATACATGTAGCTCATAAATATTTGTGGGGTTACTTAACTGGATATTTCAATCGGAATTCTACCATAATTCCCCCAAAACATGCTAAGGATATTACAGTGCTCCCTCCATAAGCACAGTATGGACACCACTAGTAAATAAATCTCTTGAAATATTTTAGATAGTACGTATATCCAACTTTAAATTTATTTTCTTTCCTTTCTCTCCCATAATAATGTAAAAAAATGCAAAATATGCCAAATTTATTCAAACCAACAGCCTTTTCATATGCAAACATCACAGACTAATCAATGGTTTTCATCCAGAAAACCTTCAGAAAAATTGGTCAACCTCCTTTAGATATGGCTCTTGATCAGGGCCAGATTTACCTACTTATGGGCCCCAGGCCAAACTCATCAGTGGGCCCCCAGATTTACAGAAATGTTTGCATGTTTCAAAATAAATAAATAAATAAATAAATAAATAAATATAAATAAATATATATATATATATATACAGTATATATATATATATATATATATATATATATATATATATATATATATATATATATATATATATATATATATATATATATATATATATATATATATATATATATATATATATATATAATTTTTGTCATTTTCGGCCAAAAAATAGATTTTGTTAAAAATCTCAGTACTTTTGGAAAATTTTAATTACAGTACTTTTGCAATGCTAATTACTTGCCACTTATGGGTTTTCAAGGTCACTTCTTGGTGCTTGTGTATTATTCTGGATGTACTTAAATAGTTAGGCACATTAGATTATAGTCCTCAGAGAAAAAGTATTTTTGGCCAAAAATCCTGTAAGGCATAAGACTTACAATTTTTGTCATTTGTGGCCAAAAAATAGATTTTGTTCAAAATCTCAGTATAGGTACTCCTGAACATGCTGATTAAGGATCTGTTGACCAAAATTTGATATCTGCATTATTACTTATTCAAATGACTTGCAAAAGTAATTACAATTTTCTAAAAGCCATTTGAACAAGTAATAATCCAGATATAAAATTTTGGTCAACAGATCCTTAATCAGCATGTTCAGGAGTACCTATACTGGGGTTTTGAACAAAGTCGATGCTATTACTGTTAAACCATTGTACAGTACAGTACTATACTCGAGAGACAAGGCTGAGAAACTGCAGATGTTGTTAATGATTCACTGTGAAATTTTGTTTGCATTTTCCCAGGATAATCTATTCACCCCGTTAGTTGTTTGAATATGTTATCAGCAACACACTACTACTGGCATTTGTCAGAATCCACAAAGTCGTGGAGGAAGTGAAACTAAAAAGATATATCGGATTGATTGATTTAAGTTAAACACAATAATTACCAGTACATTATACACTTTACATCCAAATACTGTATAATACTGTAACATGATAATGTACTGAGCATTGGTCCTTGATGGCCTAACACAAGTAAGGATACATAAGGTTCTTACTTCAGTGTGCTTGAAGACAACTTTTCCTTCTCCTCCTTCAAAGTCACGACCGGACAGAGCACTCTTGTCAATAGTACGCCATTTAACGGTAATTTCTCCATCGGCTCCATTCTTTCGAATGACTGGGATGACAGCATTGCCAATGCTCTCCTTCACCAAGAAGCCTCTCTTTTGGAACATCACCACCCCAGGCTCTTAAAGCAAATATATGAGACATTGTCACAATCCACTCAAAGTAAAAAAAAAAGTGAAAAGATTAGTAAAAAATATATCACATTCATGAAATTTTACCAAAATTATCTGCACACAAAGTTATTACAGATTCAATATATATTTTACAATTACAACATTATGTTATTCTACCAATTCTACAAACAACATTGTTAATATTACATTACTGTACCAAAAGTGAGTGAAACCAATCTAATTTACTGTACTGTACTGGAGAGATGAGAACAATACTTACTCACAGTTAAGCATCAACATAACTCTGATGGTACAGGTGAGTATAAACCAACATTAGAAAGTAATGGTAGAACTGTACTGAACAATACAGGACAAAATCCTAATAACCGTAAATATTTTGATTAAGTTAAGAGTAAATTGTCTTACTGGACCATCACACTCAAGAGCCGTGTCAAGTCCACTTCATTGATCAAGACAACAGTTCTGATGTTCTTAACAATTTACATGGCATTCCTTTATTATTTCACTTATGTACGAAACAACAATTCCAATCCTTTATACATTACAGGTAGGATCAGCTGCTTTAATTAATGCAATGTTTTTATTATGGTACAAATGGTGTGTGCAGCAGTCATCTGGTGCCTCAACCGAGCCTTTATCAAGTATCTTAATCACCAAAGTTGTATATAATTCTCATGCTCAAACTAAAAGAAACTTTCCATAAAACCAAATAAATAGTCTCCCATAAGATTCGGCATTACCAGTAACCCTTAAACGGCAGCTAAGGATTCTCTACTACGTCCCCATATGTGCAAAAATGGGATCCAGGGAACATGAAAGGGCCACTGATGAAGGCCACCATCCCTACAGCTAATGGCCGCCGTTTAAGGGTTAGGGAACACTCAACAATCTATAATGTGCAGTCACGTTCACACACTGCTACTTGGTGGCTCATATCTCATCACTAATGGGTTACTTTTAAGCTTTTCTTTCAAACCTTTTCTCCTGTGTTAATGGAAGAGAAAAGCTCAAGGCTGTTAAAATATACCACAAAAGACTGCCATAGCTGAACAGACAGACATACTATCTGTAAAAAAGACAAATATGAAGAGTAACCTAAAACATGTAGCTAATAATGTCATTCAGTAATATAAAGCCAAATACTGTACTGGTAGTGAGTAAAAATGCTCTCGTTCTCCTAAACTATCTAGAAGAAAACATGAGAGAAGCAGCAGATATAAACCACAAACTTGCGTGAAAAACTCGGAAAACCTTCTAGTAAAAACCAAAATTATCATCAAACTCAGCAGATGACAAATATTACCTTGATCTTATTTACACTGAACCTGCCATCCTCAACTCAATCTATTCTATCTCTACAACACCATAGTCAAGATTATATATTTCTTCCTCTGACGTGTGTGAACCTCCATGAGAAGTCCCTAGTTAGTGTGTATACTGTACTGGAACTAGTTTCAGGGAGCCTTATCTTTCCTTACTACTCTAAAGGTTTTTTTAAAAAAACAAAAAATGGAGTATTGCCTTATTTTCTCTAACTATAAACATATAATCTTGTAAAAAAAATTATTGGAATATATTTTTAAAGGAATTACTTAAATACTAAGAGCCCAATGTTGCCACTCACCATCATCATTGAGGATAGTTATCTCCATGATAGAGATCCGGCCCAGCTGGACGCCTTGTCTCTTCTCACTGTCAAGCATCAGCGAAATCTTCAAAAAGAATTCCTCGTCCGGTTCCCATTGGTTGTCGTTGATAATTTCCACTTCAATCTGATGGTTAAATATATTTTTGTATAAGCTAATGAAAATTTCTTCATGACCAAAGAGAAAAAGTTTACCACTTGTAAGATTTGCTGAAAAGTTCTCTTAGCTTATCAGAGAAGTACAAGAGTAATAATTAATTAAAATGGCTGTATAATACAGTGTGTGTGAAGCTGAACTTAACAAATTCAAAAGACAGAAAGGTCAAAAAATGTACAGGAAGTGAATGGAAATTAAAATGATAATGCAATAGATTTTATGCAACAGTAAACAACTTTCAACTGGAATGAAACCAACGATGAGAACCATCAGTGGAAGAGAGAGCATTGACTCCATAGAGGTACAGGTACATCTATAACCAAGAATAACTCGCCTGTTTCTCCATCTCTCCTGGTGCAAAAGTGATGACCTTGTTGATGGCAATATAATCTTGCTCCTCTGTGGCTGTCCCATCTATGCTCTCAACCCTGTAATATTACCTTCTATATAAGTACAGGTATTGTTATAAGTATATACAGTACATATTGCAACTGTTGCAAGATTTATTTCTTTGGAATATATTTAATACGAGGTCAAATATACGTATATTCCTAAAACTTGTCGGTAATCGACTCGCTAGATCATCATTTTGTGTCAGAAATAATCCAATTCAATTTTCAATTTCAATTGTTTATTCCTTGATAGAGGAAATGGGATCCTAGTGCTGTCACTAGGTACCCCTGTCCTATAATCCAATTAATTTTTTTGTGCATGATCAAGCAAAGTAATCACCATTATGTTGTACTGTATTGGGAGGTGACAAAGGATGACCACATTGTGTTGGTTTACCTTAGAGATTAATACAAACCAGCTTACAATTTTTTTTAACTATTGTTCACTGTGAATTCTACTATAAGAGTCCTTTACAAGAAATGAATCTGTCTACTTATTTCATTACGTCCAGTACACACAAGTTGCTCACCTGACACTGACTTCATTATCTGTCTTGCCGGTACGACAAATAGCCACATTGAATTTCCCAATGTTTTCCATAACAGCACAAGAGGCGGCATGGAAGTCAATAACAGCATTTCTGTGTGGCATCACCTGTGACGAGGGTAAGAATAAAGTCTTAAAAGGAGAATCTTGGAATTATTCATAAAAAATCTGAACTAATCAGCTAAATTTTGCACACACATGACATGGCCATCAAACTACTTCTTTTAACTTTGCATAACAATGAAGCATTTATAGACATTATAATAGAATAGATACAGTATACAATTAGAATAAAAGGTAAGGTAACAAACTATGAAGTTAGACATAGGTATCTATCAATCAACTTACCAGCCATCATACTAATGTCCACTGAAGTATAATGAGAGCATTACAAAACTCCTAAACAACAGATATGGGTACTCCTCAACTGATGCACACATACCAGCTGCTCCATACAAGCGCGCGCACACACACACTTACCGCTCCAAGTATGTTTCCTCAAAGTGAATCAACTCACACTTCTTCCTCCCAACTTAGCCACAATCAACCTTGTGAACTATAGCCCAATATATCTCCATTCAGAAGGTCGTCCAGCTCTTCACACTTAATACATCTGTCTGTCAGTCTTGGTGCTGTAGAAGGTCAACTTATCCTTCAGATCAACAGTGGACTTCCCTTCCCCACATCCACAGAATCATCAACACAAAACATTACTAATTCCCCACATCCACAGAATCATCAACACAAAACATTACTAATCGAACAACTACAATAAGAAATTAGACCTGTGGCACTTAATAAAAGCTCATCAAACACAAACAGAAATAGTCAGAGTGTAATTATCTGAGGCAGGCATGGGCAACCTGTGACCCGGATCGTGTGTTTGTGCGGCCCGTGGAGTGATTGAGAAATTCTAATTAATGTGGCCTGAGGTTCGGGTAGATGCAGCCAGTTTATGGCGAGTAAAGCAATATTTGTTAAAAGAATAATCTTCACACACAATTCGTTTCTGTTTCATCACCTAAGAGTAAGTAACTTCAAAAATGTAACAGTGAAATAAGTACATATATAGTCAACAATATAAACATTTTAAATTGTGTGAGTTTATGGGCCAACTTCGGCCCAATCTGTATGGTGGATTAACTGCTATGTGGCAATGGGTCACTTGGGAATTAACTAAGGCTGGATAATTCCAAGTAGGGTCACAGGCATTGGTCACACAAGGTTTAACTAATTAAATACTTCCAGAATAACACCATAACACAAAAATAGCACCTCGGAAACCCATAGTTGGCGAGTAATTAGCATTGAAATAATGTAATTAGAATTTTTCACGCGTTAAATGCCAAGAAACATTAACATATCACTAAAAAATTATTATGATGGATTTGTTTTATAAATGGAAAAAAGATGGACTATAAACTGAAAATATCATAAGGACGTGACAATAAACTGCTCCATGCTAAAACAATATTAACATTACTTTTGGGTTAGGTAGGATATAAATTTTGGTGGGTTGACCCGCAGAAAAATACCTAAATTGTGTTGTGGCCCATGACTGAGGAAAGGTTGCCCATGCCTGATATAAGGTAAAGAACGTTTTGAGAAAATTCCATCAATGTACAGTACAATCCAGAATCCTACAAGAGCAAAAGATCAGATCAAATCTTCCAAAGTCAAAGGAAGTATCCCCCAGATTTGAAATAAATTGGCTGAGTTATTATTGGGATATTACCTCAAAATAATAAAAATAAAATACATTGGCTACTACAACAACCTTGAAGGGAAAACATCATCCACAATCAATACAATACACCAGAAGAATCAAGGCAGGTATCAAACTGTGATCCTTTATAACCAGAGAAAAACTTGAATGGTGCTGAATAGAGGAACTGAGATACCAGTACATGTACACAAACAGGAGTATTGTACTGTACTTGGCATGTAGTTAAGCTGTTTAAGAAATTAATGAAAAGGGATACCCATTAATACTAATCTGTGAATTTAATGTGAAAATAATTGAACCTGTTCTATCTTCTATTTAAGGCAAACACTATTAATTTATTCAGTTTAGTCTTTAGTACTTTCTATTTCTCTAAGAGCTTTCTCACCAGTCCAACACAGACTACCCCATCACTGCACATCTCTGCTCTTTTTATCCATCATCACCTCATTTGTTAAATCCTTGTATTGTTCCATCACCTTTTCTTCCCTGCTGTAGGCTGTTTGCTAACACACCTCATACACCACCACCAAGCCAAGAACGTTACTTCGTGATAAGTCCCGACATTTCAATTGCTCAGAAATTTCCTTTTGTAAAGTGCATGTTAGATCCTAATATCCTATAGAAGAAGTGCCATGATTGGACAGCTAAACCCCAATACCCTATAGAACAAGTGCCATGATTGGTCAACTTCAAGTAATGAACTGCAACAACAGACATTTGTGCATCAGTAGTGACAACACCACCATGTGGTGCATTGATTGAAGAAGTTTACCTTTGGAACCTCCCCAACTGTTGGTGCATCAGGATGTTCATTCATAGCATTGTAGACCTGTAGTAGTGGAAGATAAACACAGATTGTTAACATGCAGCGACTGATTGAAGAATTTATGACATAGAAGCCCAAGAAGGAAGTTCTCGAGGGCAAGCCTTCTTCCTATCATGCTAATATATTTTGATAGATTCTTAATTAATGGTTTTTCATTTGTCTTGCCAACAAAATCATTTAAAAAAACTAAATAATTTTATATTACCAGTTTAAATAAATAATTATGTCATCATTTTAAGGAGAAGCTTACCTGTAAAGATCTTTAAAAAAACATACAGTTTTAGGATTTTAATTACACCAAATGGTTAATATTGACTACAGTACTGTAGTAAGGAACAAACTATGATACTGTGCTATATGTTAACTAACCATAATGCACTACACTACTGTACTTGGCCAATATTTCTACTGATACTGAAGACTTAATGACACCTTACACTAATTTTCTAATGACTCTTATTCTGTATTTATTTATTTATTTATTTATCTATCTATGTCTTCCACACCATCACCTACAATCACAGGAAGATGGTATTAACATTTCAACAGTTTGGTAACTACAGTACTGTATGAGGAGTTTAGTAATTAGAGATCATCATTCTGTTAGATTACATCACAACAAAACACTGATGGTGACCTGTATTAAGGCTGTTACATAACACACAGTCTCCCTTATCTCTTGACACCTTAATAAATATGCTCAACACACTATTAATAAAACTATCTGTCGAGAATCATCAAAAGGTCTGAAATACTGTGAAGTCTGTCAGGTTACTACTATGAGATACTGTATATACTTGAGGAGCATCTATACACTACACTAAATACTAAATCATTTATATAAGTGGTCTGGCTATGAATATTATTATCTACACCACAATATATCTCTCAGTTACTCCCAACTAAATGGGGTGGAATACCAATTATAATCTTTTCACACTAATGAAGTCTTTCACGATCAACTTTAAAGCATTGCATGTCGAGCTGTCATCTATACCGAGGTGCCGAGTTCTAAAAATAATCATGAAAAGTTTAAGACAAAGTGTGTTATTACCACTGCACCGTACTATCAGTGACCACTAACTCTACGGTAATCATGAACTGCAGTACTGTACCTGTCTCCAATATGACACTGGCATTACCTACACAAAGGGCATATGTTCTATGTTATAAATCAAATATAAACAGGGAAAAATTTTAAGCCTTATTAAATTTTATCATCAAATATATAAAGGACATGAGAGCATAAACACATCCCACTGTGCAATGCATCAACCCAAAAAGCAGTGCAAGATAAAGTTCGTGTAACAGTCATGCATAGAATATTGTACCAAAATATTTCAATACCTTTCATGCACATGCAGTAATCTTCAGGTTAACTCTGTCAAATGATAAAAAGAAACTCCCGAACTTTCATATTCAAATGAAGTTTATCAGTAACACAGATCGGCTGATGTATACTGCACTGCCGACTTTCATTATCCGCACAGTTAGTTGTTAACGTACAAATTAGCAGCTTTTAATTTCCATCTGCAAATAAGACTTTGGGAGACAGTGTAGTGATAACTCACACACCGAAAACTGGACAGTGACAGCTACATGTCTCCCAGGGTAGAGGTTTAAAGCCATCAACTAAATCTGATCCACAATAAACATACGGTACAGAGTCAGTAGTAAATTTTTTTTTAATACAAACATCAATTGTTCTCTCAAGAAAAAATATTGTTAATAAATTGTAAAGGATAATTCACATTTGTGATGCCAGAACTGTATAATGAATGTTTCGTATCACAAACTATTATTTCATCCTTATTGACGAGTCTGTAAAAACCTTTATACATTTTTCTCGAGTTTCTCAAGTTATATTATAAAATTACCAAAATAACTTCCTGTGCCTTATGTGGACAGTCGCCATAAGAAAATGAATTATGATGAAATTCAATAAGTCTATTACATACAACTCATTATCACTGTATAATGTACAACTCCCATCAAGTGTACTCCCAAAAAAATATATGATAAAAATTTTGAGAAACATCACAAAAAGTTTACCAAAATTAAGATCCAACGGAGATCAATTATCCCAACAGGGTATGACAAAGGATGAAAATAATGTTTACATCCTTTACACAATAAACATAACGTAAATATTCACAGTACTACATCGCTCACAGAACACAAAAAAAATTCCAATACCGAAATAAATGCTCAACAGAGAATTATCACAGGATCACGATACAGTTATACAAGGAACAAACATAACCGGTATAGTACAACGTGACCACAATAACGAAGCTCACAAACTTAACACTATTAGATGCCTCAACATCATCGCCTCAACAAAACTTAAGATCTCATTGAGGCGAAACAAAAGAAAGAATATGACGTCAAACTAAATCGGGGTTTATATAAGATCTTTAGATGCGGGAGAAGCAACAATAAATTTTTAAGGGTAAGTCATTCCCAAGACTCCTGATGACCTTCCACCAAGGCTCTCTGAATATCTCCTTCCAAAGTAAAATACCACAAACACTTCTTCCTAATGTCACTTAAATAATGCATCTCACTCCACTTTACAACACAAACAACAATATTTCTTGCTGTGTGAACTGTACATAGCTAAAGTGTCTCAATGATGGGGACAATGAAAATAAGTGGGCTGGTGAATGGTTCCTCAGAATGAATTATCCTTTTAACTTGTGAAAAACAGCAGATACATTAGATAGCTTCTCAAAGTTAACCATCTCTTTAACTTAGGGAAAAACAGCAGATATATTATGTAACTACAGTACAGTACTCAGAACTGGCCATTACTTTAACTTGAGGAAAACTGAAAATATATGTTTAACACTGCTGCCAACACTATCAACAATCACTTAAAAGAAAACTCCACTGGAAGTCCTCATTACAACAGCCCTGGAGTTGTGGCTCAAGTTAGGTATCTTATCTCCGTAACTGGGGAACTGCAGGCTTAATGTGATGAAGATATTTTGATACCTGAATCTATATGCATCTGATCAGTAGCCAATGCAAAGGCCACTTAATATTGGCTTCATTTGCTCAGTTCTCTCAAAATATGAACACATTCACATCCTGATTGATGAACTATACTAAACAAAATTTATAGGAAAATACAGTCCAGCAAAGACTTGCATCGAGGGAACTGAAGCTGATAAAAATGTCTGCTAAATCTTGTTAGACATGATCTGCTACAATAAATGTAAACAATATGGTGAACTATATATGAGAGATCGACTGTGTATGTACACTGTACTGCTGACACCAGGCATGTAGGGGTGAGGCAATGGCCTGGTTCACTCTTTAAACTGGTGTATAATCAGTGCTCAATATACAGTTATTCCTAAAGTGTTGTGGAAAGTATGACCCAGAGAGCCTTAGTGGTGGGACCTCAGCTCACATATTCTATCAAGACTCTTTCCTTCATTGATGGAAAGCGTTGTCTACCAACCGTCTTATATTTTCACACTGACATCAGTCCAGATGTGCCGTTGTCATTAGCAATTAAACATAAAACATTTGATTGTTAAGTAACCTTTATATTCTGGGAAGCAACATTCAGATATAGAAAATAATGTCAGTATTACCTTGACTATTCTAACTTAAAGAGCACTAGAACTACTAAGTTATTGTATTTACATATACAGGTATTAATAAAATTAACAACTATCTACAAGTCCTATTAACTAAATTATTGATATAATCATTACAGAACCTCAAAATCTAGTAATATATTTTGACTAAACTAAATACAGTATGACTAAAAAGCTATGTTAAAATATGAGGTGGCTACAATTATGCTAAATGTTAAAAAATTAAAATGAAAGGTTAAGCTGGAGGCATCTATACGAACAGTTGCAGCATTAGAGTCTGTTTAAGGTTAAAGAACAAGAGGTGATCAGGTTTACTCCAAGTGTTGAGGTGGAGAAGCCAGGTGTGTTGCAGGAGGGTACTTACACTGTGCAGGTATTTGTCAACACCCTGTAAAACAAGGTCGAGGGATTCTCATACAGTGTCTAGTATACACAAACACTTAATCCATACACTTAGTAGCCACAAAACTCATGGAAAAAAATGTGTTGCTTTTCACTACAGTCAGATAATACGCAGCAAATAGACATAAAATTAAGTCTGCAAATTAACCTAAAGCGTCTAATGACTTTAGTAAGTGGCATGTTTCTCCGAGCGAGGAAGAAGTGTATGCATCACTCGTTACAGTATTACATAAAATTGATGAACACAGTTTTAGTAGACACATTTAAGAATACCAGTACTGTACCACAAGAGGTTGGTGAGAAGGATTATTTATCAACATGTGTATGAGTGGTGCTTCAAGAGGTACAGTTAGTCATAAGAAGAGTAGCAGTGAGGAACAAGTAACCCGACACATGCTGGTAGTAATGAAACAAATATTGGAGAGCAATTATTTCAAACTAACTATTCAAAGGAACCATCATTTGTTTTGTCATAAGCTTAAAATTCCTTTGTTTTTATCCATTTTCTTTTTCTTTTTTTACTCACATTAACTGTCCCTTTAGAAGTCATTATGGACCGTTTACTTAGCTGAAATATATACATCACACATGAAAGGATTTATATAAATATACATTAGATGTGTATATACAGGGTGTTCTGTTAATAGTCTACATATACCCGGGTGAACACACATACAAGACCAATGTTACATCTTACTGTATAACGTCAGAAATAATGAGGAGTGAGTGGGGCTTAGTTTACCCTAAAGGTTTCTGAGTGTTGACAGCTATAGAGTATATGTTGTTAGAACACCAGTAGACAACACAACTGTAGGTAGGGAGAAGAGAGACCGATCAAATAAAACACAACGAATGGCTCTATTACTACAATGTCTCCCAGCCCCTGAGAGCTAAGATGTCAAGGAGGCACAACTACAATACACTTAAGATCAGCGAAGCATAACACCCAGACATAAACCACATTTGTACAGGGTTATTACACTACCTTCCAAGTATTATCAAATAAATTCCCAAAAACTTTAAGTCAGAGAAAAACATTTCTTACCATTAGAACACAAATGAAAAATTATGTCACCAAACACTGAAGAGGATAATGTATAATAGCTTTCATTTCCTTAAAATAAAATGATTCACTTTCTCAAAAACTGTCAATTATTTGATCAATGTTATCTAGGGGGTTAGATTGGGTTAGGTTAGATTGGGTTAGGTTAGATTGGGTTAGGTTAGATTGGGTTAGGTTAGATTGGGTTAGATTAGATTGGGTTAGGTTAGATTGGGTTAGGCTAGATTGGGTTGGGTTAGGTTATGGTTACAGGTAATCTTAAAAGTGAAATAAGCTTGGGGATTTAATCTTCAGGTGATTCACAAACTGCATATTTCCTCAACTCGGTCACTTGGCTCTGACAGGCTTTAGTTGTAGGTAAAACAGAGAACACTCCTACAGATCCACTGATACAAGCCAAACAGACCATAACTCCCAAACATTTTCTTACATGACTTCTTAAAATGTTGTATTTCAGACCATATGGTATTGACTTACAGTATATTAGTTATCAAATGCAATACTGTACAGATGTCTCTTTTCAAGGAATTCCTATAACTAAAAGATTCTACCTAAACTCTTATGTCTACATCTAGTTATTAATAAGACAATTCACAGCTACACGGTGGCCATGTTCATAATGATTCTACAGAGATCTCGTCCACTATTACTGGAACGAAGAATTAACTATTAATATTCATACTGCTACAGCACTGTACATCACAGGTGGTTCATTTCCAGGTAATATATATCACTCTTCATTCTTTTCCTTATAAATAAATGAGTAAATAAAGTATAAGAATACACTAACACACAATGTATATTTTAAAATTAGAATTTTATAACTTGTCAATCCTTTACTAATGTGAATAAAATACAAAAACATATAAAATTATATCCAGTACAACACTGCACAAAATGGGTTAAATTATTTTCCTCTACAAACTGCCGCTGTAAACGGAGAGACACACAGACCCACATCAACCAGCAGTAATGCTGGAGGTGTAAACAATATCACTGACGACACTTTCCTAACATCACGGAGAACATATTATTTACTGTACACAAAACACCACACAAAATAATAATCACTTGCAGGATATAATGACAAAAATAATGAATGCAAACAATAAAGAAAATCCATGCAGGGAAGCCATACAGACCTGCCACGTTAAGATGACCACAAGACTAAGGAACGTAACCTCCAAACAATACAAAAAGTGTACATACAACATTACATACAGTTAACAAATGGTAACTATAGGAGTAAATACTGTACTTGTTGCTTCAAAGGTAAAACACCTCAAGGCATACTAAAATACATCTCGTAAGGTCAAGATAATAGAGAGGGTTTCATTCCTAGATGGTTACGGTGAATGCAAATACACGTAATCAGCCTTAATGAAACTCCTGAATATATTGTGTAGAATAAATCAATAAACTACACCATTCTTTCAATCCAAGAGGCCAGATCGGATAAGCTTACATACAGCAAATTGAAGATTCACAAGTCAACCGGTGGTCCTATACACCAAAAAATATATATATATAAATTCCCAGCACGACAACTCACCATGATGAGAAAGTTATCCAGATAGAGTAAAACAAAGAAGAAAAAACACTCAGAATTATAAGCTAAGATCCCAGAGAGCTGCCATTATCCCATAAAAATACTCAAGCTGAAATTGCAAAACAGTATAATTTAAAGGCAAAAAGGACCAGTCAAGGAGATCTTGACATGACAGCTGTCCCCTTGTTTTGTTCGACAAGTATCACGTCACGTTATAGATAATACAGTATACTGTACTATATATAATGGCACAAATATTCCCGTCAAGTTGGGTCCTCTACAGAGCTTCATTAAATGTTAAATATGACGAGTCTACTGGAAATAATATCATCCTCAGCTCATGTCCAGGTCCATCCTTAACTTGTCCTTTCTAACAACAGAAAATTATTGTCAGTTTCTTAAGTAATTATTTACAAGAGTGTAAGTGAGAGAAAGGTTGGTTCTCCCGTAAAGCTAACCAGTGAAGCAACGTTCCCTAAAGCAGTAAAGATGCCTAGGGGGGGGGAAGAAGGAAGATAGAGGGAGTGATAGAGGCAAAGGGCTACCTGATTGGTGCCGTCTTCTAGCATGATCAGCGTTTTCTTCCTGTCCTTAGAGCGCTTGAAACGAAGACACAGATGAGCAGTGAAGTATTAGAAGGAAGTACGAAGACCTTTTGTTTTTAGCATTGCAAAACTGATTACTGTAAGTTGCAGCTTATCTTAGCCAGGGATAACACCAAGGGAAACACAACACAAGCAGTGACCAGTGATCTGTCTCTCTTGATCAGTGGCCAGTAAGCATGGTTGCAGGCTATTATGTTTTGATTAAGCAAAATAAAAAATTTAACTTAAGTAACTAAATAAATAGAATAATTAAGCAATATCTTATATGGCACTATGAACCTTTAAAATGATCTTCAAAACACTATTACAGTAAGTCAAACTTCTGTGAACATTTCTATATGATATTTGAGTTTAAGTTATTAATCAAAGTAAGTATTTAACAATAGTTTTGAACACTACAATGAACTTTACTGATGAGTTAGTGAAGTAATGTTAGTGCTTATAACACCAACAACCTGACAGGAGTAACTGAATGTTCAGAGGGCACAGTACAGGGGGTACCAAGCTCAGGGGGACTGACTGGAACACAAAGTCCAGTTGTTAAAAGATTAGGTTCAATATGATCGTTGCAGGAACAAGCACTAAAGTAACCATTTCAAAAACCCAAAATGGCCATGTGTCTCGTGTTAAAAAAGGTCACAATTTACTCTGCTACACAAACATCACCAGGTTAGGGAAGGTTTAAAAAACTTTGTGCAAAGGCGATCATTCAAACATGAAAATAAATCTTTGGGTAGACCGTGTCCCAGATGCCATCACTATAGAGTTCATCATCTGGGCCGCACATCTTCTCTTTCTTACTTTATCAACATCAACTTACCTCTTATGGTTGAATCACACCAAATTGTTAACTACCAATAATACAAAACTTGTTGAAGGTTTACAGTAGAGTCAGCCAGTGGTGAAGAAGGTAGATAAGTAAGTTGAGGTCACATGTGAGGTGATATGAAATGGGCTCCAGTTCTCAACCTAACCTAACTTATCTATTAGGTCCAAATCCTAATAGGCAGTATTCAAAATGGCTAAATTAAAGAGTGTGGCTCAGTAGGACTGTGGCTCACCTATCCTGCAACTGACAATTATAAAATGCCACATCAAGCCTTAATTGTTATTAAGGCTTGATGTAGCCTTCTATCACTGCCTGTGTGATGCTCTACAGCCACAACTAACACTAACTGATAAATAATGGACTATTTCCTTCTAAGAATATCTTTGATAAATACAGATTCATTTTATATACATTATATATAAACATATAACTTTTTTAAAGAACTCCATATGTTGTGTGTGAGTATGCATGTACTGTACCTGTGTTTGTGTGTACCTGTGTATGTCAGCATATGTGTGTACCTGTGTATGTCAGCATATGTGTGTACCTGTGTATGTTAGCATATGTGTGTTTGTGTGTATATACTGTACAGTATATATATCCTTAGGTTTAATTGTGTGAATGTGTGTGTTTAAGTATGTGTACAGTATACTGTATATACGTGTGTGTTTAGGTGTTTGTATGCATATATACAAAGTGTCATTTGTGATATATAGCAAGACAGATACATTTAAGTGTGAAACAGTAAAAAGAACACAAGAAGGAATAAGAAAATGGGACGAGGTACAGTAGTAAGGATAATGGGCACAGTGTGGGGACATTCTTGATGACAATGGTGGAGGAAATAAGTAACAATGGTGGAAAGAGTGAATGGGAGAGAAGAACAATGAGGGAGGGAGTAGCAGCAGAGACAAATAAAGGAAAGAGGAAGATATCAACAAGGGGAAAGGACAGGAACCACAGATACACAGGAAACTGGAATAACAGTGTAAAAGTTGTATCAGTCAGTAAACATTATCTTATAAAGTAGACTCATTATTAAGCATCCAGAAGCTCAACTACTATCAGTGTCTTGTACAGTATAATATCTCAACATTTAGAATGCTTGTGTTTATCACCCAATAAATCACAGGGTTATGAGTTTCATCTAGTAAAAAACAAAGCCAACATCTCAGTCCTCATAAAACTTTATCAATACACTTGTGTCCCGTCTCCTGCTGGAGGAGGACCTCTTCAACCCCTGCCCTCTACTGAAGTAAAATTAACCCAGATGGTTGGCTGGTTGTGTGAACACCAATAATGTAACAAGAGATCTGATGTATGAAAGTTTTCAGTTAATGAACCAACAAAAGAAAGTCGGGGTAGAGGTGGATAGAAATAGATGAACGCACACAAACTGTAATGTGACCCAAGTAATAGTGTGTATGTTTACTGTACATATTGATGATAGAACACACCGTGGTGAGTGAAGTGTCAAACATGTACACTCGACACATGCTTATTTCAGACACACGAGTGAAGAATGACCGTGCTCAACACATCAGGTCAGAGGGTGTTCTATCACACTTACACACTCTGGAAATATAAGTTGAGATCACTGCTGTATGGGGGTGACTTTAACATTTATGGTGTATCAAGCAAGTAACAGTAAAACGTGTAATATACGCAGATCTCAGTTTGAGGAAGCACAGGTGGTCATAAGTCTCACACGTGGATAAATGTCTTCAAGACTCACGAATTTTAACTTCCAGTCAAAATCTTGTTGAATTTTCGCATCAATCATTCTTGATATCTTGATGTAGAAAACAAAATAGTTTGATCACTCAACATGTTGACAACTTAACACTCAAGTACCAGAATTAGTTTGTCCATCAAGGCTCACTACCTAAGAACAAACTGACACGGAGGAACAACTGCAGAAAGTTGTGACCTGTACAGTTCAGTAGATGGAAACAAACAGGTTGGGGTTAAGGTCAGTGAGGATTAAGAAAGAAGAGATTTTATTATTTTATTGTTTTGAATATTATCTTATTTACTAACCCTCATCAACACAACACCCGGTATCAATATATCATTTATTTTATTCATAAGAGTAACAAACCCACAACCCTACCTTGTCTGCTTCCACTTACTGTACATGCATTACCATGTACTTTATAATAGTGAGCTAACACAATTGTAGTATTCAACACAACTAAAACAAAATGAATAAGAATCAAACATTTTTATCAAAATTTAAATTCCTTGTCATAGTGCACACTGTAGGTAAATTGTTCTTGATGGAATGACATAAATGACACACCACAAGATGTTATACCAGTCAAGGTTCACGGTAAACCATTAGATATTCGACAACAACATAATCCAAGTTACTACATAATATTCTGTGCATCTAATAGGACAAAACCTCAAATCTGATCTATTTATTAAGTCCATCAGAAAACCTGTTGGCTAACTATCATATCTTCCAATGTTAGAAATAATTTTTTATATAATAAGTTTATAACATGTCACTATACACTAACCTCCATATTTATATAACCCTTACTAAACATATCCTGTTGTATCTGTGTCGTACTGTATAACACACAAACTTGGTCAGAGAGTTTTAAATGTTACCACCTGTGAACCAGTTTCCTTGATCCTAACTAAATATTTGACCAAGGAAATATATAGGACTCAGATTCCGTTCCTTGTACAGTACTGCCCATTAAGGAGCAACAGTGTAAGTGGCAAGTCAAGGTGAATCAAAAGCCAATTTAAATCATAATTACCACACAATTAACACAAATTCCATCTGAAATCACCTCATTGTTTCATTAAAAATTTATGCTTTACAAGCTTTCAAAACCATTCTAGTGAGCTGGAACATGATTACATTAGAAGGAAAAAAAAAAGAATAATTAGGACATTAATGTATAGTAAACTCAAGCATAACTGAGCTTCACTTTAAAACAGTCTGGATAAACTGGACCTTATTTCACTCATCCAAACTTTTTTTGGAAATACAGTAATCAAATTTTTGAAAAACTGTAATGAATTTAAATTTTTGGCATACTGTAATTACCCTATAGTCTGGTTTACTTTTCGAGTTTACAGTAATACATTAGCACATGATCCATTTAAACTCTATCCACACAAGAAGAAAAACCCTTTATCACTATGAATTACAACATATGTGACTGTCACATGGTCATGCAGGACACACTTGCCCTAGGGGTGAGTGGAGACGTGTGTTCAAACCTGTGCTTACTAGCGTTCTGTACACATCACACGGAGTACTTTGATGCTATATCTGTGTTTTTGGTGTATACAGTACAAGCACTTGTATCACAGTACGGCTCTCCCTAATTCATCATGACAATGAAAGCTAGTAGTAGTAGCAGCAGTAATAGTGAGGGTGGTAGTATTGGCAGTGGTGGTGGTGGTGTTGGTGATAGTAGTAGTGGTGGTGTTGGTGGTGGTGATGATGGAATGCATAAAACAACTAGTAGTGGTGGTGCTGGTAATAATAGTAATGGTGGTGGTGGTGGTGGTGGTGGTGGTGGTGGTGGTGGTAGTGGTGGTGGTAGTGGTGGTGGTGGTGGTGGTGGTGGTGGTGTTGGTGGTGGTGGTGGTGGTGGTGGTGATGGTGGTGGTGTTGGTGGTGGTAGTGGTGGTGATGGTGATGGTGATGGTGGTGGTGGTGGTGGTGGTGATGGTGGTGGTGGTGGTGGTGATGGTGGTGGTGGTGGTGGTGGTGGTGGTGGTGGAATGCAAAAAACAACACAAGTACACAACCATACAAACAGCACAGATGGACAAGAGAACATCTCCACCATGGCTGTGAGGACACCGTACCTCCTGACCCTCCCTGAGACATCAACCACTCCACCCCTAACCTGCCCCTCTGCCTCACAGGGTGTAAACAGCTCATATAATTGATAATACTTTGTTGTTCCTGTTATATCAGTGTATCTCTTATTACTGTTTAATGGATCATGGATGAAGCAGGTTACTGTATATGTTAGTAAACTGCACATAATTATATATTTATAAGGACTGTAACTGGTGGTATTATGAGCATCAAGAAATTTACCAGAGAAGCCAGAAATTTGTAAAATCCAGACTTCCTTTCCCTTAAGTAGCTCAGTTTAGCTTGGGTTTACTGTTCTTTTCTTCATATTTATTAGTTAATAAAACAGAAATGAGAGAATGTAGCATTTTTCCTTAAAGAAAATCATCTCTACTTTTCTGTTCATTACCTGGAAACACGCAATGCAGATCTTTCAAATAAGTGATGACACCCATAATGTTATGTACACACGTTGGTTTATGAGATAACCAGTACACACACACCTACAGGAACCCACATCACTACAATCATATTATTAGTCTCAAATAATTCTTACTGATACCAAGTTAGAAGGTTAAATGTGATTCAGTTAGTCTCATGCTATATTATTAAATCCCATGTTAAGACTCTCACCAACACCATGAGGACACATGCTGATGAGCCGGACAGGTTTTGTACCGCTCAGAAGGTTAGTTTTGTTAAAAGACCTAATAAATAAGTAAGAAAATCTATATGATGAACTACCCTGACTATACATCATTTGAGCAGTCATGTTGGAAATGAACTTTGGTTCTAGTTCATAAATATTTAGACATTAAAATAATTACAAGAAAGCACTGAAATCATTATAGTCTCAGTAATTACTTGGAATTATTTCATATGATTACTGTATCCAATTAAAACTATCAATCACATACAAACACACACATACAGTATACCCGTCTTAATAACTTACTCCACTGTGCACCAGCTTCCTTACGTGTAATATTCCAACATGACTACAGTATTTATATCACTTACATATGAAAGTTAGTCATAATTAGCACCACAAGGGGCCTTTACTGGTCAATGACTGATCAAGAAAAAAGTAATAGGAGTGTAGTAAGACTCAGCCATCATCCTTATTACTTTATGACGGCCAACATGCTGCAGGTAATTATGTCTATATGAAGGATATTTAGTGGGAAAAAAACCAGACAAGATGCTTGAGAAAGACCCTAAATTAATCTTCATCAACATAAATGAAACTTTATAAATAATCACAATAAATGAAGTGCCCATGACATAAGCAACTTCTTTATTCACCTGAGACTTTACAGGTAACTATAATGTCAAGATACATCAAGATAAAATTTAAAATGACCAACCAAATACAGTAATAATAGTAACCATCATGAAATATAAAAGAATTGATGCTCAAGCTTAGAGGAAATTGAGCAATATGCGGGCATCCTGTTGAACTGTGGCAGATATAAACCGACACACTCCTGAACTAGTGGAAGCCTTATGCCTCACTGTGCTTACTGTATGTTGTAATGGTGATTGTGTAATACTCTTTTGTGGTGCTAATAATAACTGAAATTTGTGTATAATAATGATAAAAGTTGTTAACCTTAAAATGTCATCTAATAATATAACCTACAAGAGAAGAACTAGTACTGTATTAAGTATTATTCCTGTCATGGTTGAACTACTGTGGGACAAAACCTTACCTCTTTAAGTTTGTAGGAGAGCTGAGGCTGTGTCTTGCGTCCACCAGTCATACTACGCACGGCACCCACACGGTACCACATCCTGGAGTGGCTCTGAGATTCTACCAATCTGGAATATAGTACAATACTGTATTAGTACTTATTCTCGCACAATTTTTGACAGTTTAACAACCTGTGAAAAGAATAAAATAAAAAGAAGCTTTCTATATGACCTTAAATAATATACACAATTAATTTAATAAAAAAATACATTGTCTAGCAAATATGGAAATATCATATCTGTTTTATAACAATTTTAAGAATTAAGAATGCCTGTACCTGACATGTGTCCACAGTGTAAGGCAATGTGTCTACTACAGTACAAGATGATAAATTGATGAACCCAGTACTTGTACTTAAAGTTTCTACTGCAGGTCGGGGAATATTATGGATCACCAGAAGATGAGCCTCCAGCTTGTTTCACCTGAATATTAACCACTGTAACACTAACCTAATCTCACCAAGTAGTACTTATCGTGTTCAATGAAACTTGTACAGTATATTAAAGTCATGTATGAGGACTGGGCCCAGAGACCTTAACTGAAGATGTAAAAGTAAGATCTCTAATTGTACTACAGGTCACAACACTCACTTGGAGGCAGCGAGCACAGCAGCGTCTTCATCAGTAAGTCCTGGGTAGTTTTTCACCTCCTTGATGAAGGCGACCAGGCCGTCACGATCCAGATGACCGTCCTTGAAATACTGCCGCTCCTTCAGGAATTTGTCCGCTGAAAAACACCAAGAAAATATTAACATGTATAGTGGCAATAAATTTTTATCAACTTGTCTGAGGAGGAACACAATGACTGGCCATTGCAGGAAGTGAAACAAAATCAAATGCATGTAACAACAATAATATATCTTGCTAAATATACAATACAGTACTTTAATGGACTCAGCAAACGTGATTCTTAAATAACAAATTCCTCTACAGCAAACACCAAACACAATCTTTAGAAGACTTGAAGTAAAATATTAAATAAACTGGTGTGTTTACAGTACTTTTAGTATCGTGGGAATCATCCGAGCTCATGTACATTATAAAATAAAAAGTAAACAGAAAAAATAATAATACCATTGAGGTAATATATTACTGTACATAAAACAGGTATAAACTGTATTAATAAGAAGTACAGGGTATGTACAGTACTCACCTTACATTTATTGAAAAAAATGCAATTTACAATAGTACAGTAAATATTTGTTGATTATTTACAACCTTCTCTTTTGTACACATTATACAATCAAACACCAAATTTTTGTCCCTGGGATGAAGGAGGCACTGTACTGTACAGTATGATTATCTAAAACATCTTAATCATTATTTATTTTACAAGTGATAATTATAAACTGTACATTAAAGTTTACTGAACAGTGATGTTACAATGAATGTTACAGGCACTTTACAATAAGTTAGAAAAAATACAGAAATAAATATGACTAGTTTGTGTCACTGATACTGTACAGGGTGAAGCACTTGCTGGCAGCCCTGGGGTGTCTCATATAGTGATACAGTATTAGGGTGTACCAGTGAGTGAATCAACCTGTATGTAATCACTTGTATGAGAGTTAATACAATCCAGATAAAACAACATAGAGCATTATATAAAACCTTGAACAACAACACACTGCGGTAAGTCTGAACTAAACTCACAACCAACACACTCCACACCACACAATAGTTAAATTATCATCACTAAACCTCAATAACAATGTTAGTTTAACAATAATAACAATTAGTGAAATGACAAAAAATTAAATACTTCATCAGTAGAGTAATTCTATGTCAGTTCTTGAGCCACAACACATAATGTAAACTGAGAGGTCACGATGTATTACAGGTAAACTTAACATTGTAACTTATGGTAATTCTGAAGGAAAATAAATGTCATACTATCTAGGTTAGATAACTGTAAGGGGGCAGGATTTCATTCCCAAGTACCCTGTATAGTCGCCACAATCCTGGTCAAGTCAACTTTGAGGTCACAATCAAGCAGTTGACCACTAAAGGTTACAAAAGAAAATCCGAAAATTTCACTAATGATGCTTGATCAGTCCGTGATAGCAAACCACACCTAGTTAATGAACTCCGAGGTACTGCACCAGGACCATGCCAGCAGTGACTTACCAGAGGGCGTGGTGGTGGTGGGGGCTTTCACCCCCAGACACACCAAACACTGCCTACACGGGTCTTCTTCTTCTTCTGCTGCTGCTAGAACACAACACAACATCTCACTATCATGTCTGACAAAATGTATCTCCAAACTTCTCCCTCTTTCTCTTTATGGTAAATTACCTGCCTGCTGGATGGAGACCTGAGGGCTGGCAGGCACAATAGTTGTTTTGAGGTTATGGGATGGTGGGACTACACAGCTGATAGCGATATTTATCTAAATATTATTGTCAGGAATACAAATGCTGTTGTCTTTCTACACTTGACCATTATTGGATCCAGTTTTGAAATAAAGTCAGTAGCTCTGGTACTAAAGGTTACTACAGGTACATGTAGTGTACTTACATGTACTGTGGATACATACAGTACTGTACATGTCTCTGAGAATAACAAAACTACATCACTCTCAGGGTCTGAGTAAAGTACACAACCCACAAACTCCCTACAACACAGACCAGACCAGACCAGACCAGACCACGAGTCAGTCTTTCATTAATGTAAATTTCTCTACTCTCCCATGAAACGAGTCAACATTAACTAGATATACTCTTCCTCTTCTGAGGCCTTGTGCATCGCCCTCGAGGCCAAGTGATTACAAGAGGTTTTTGTAAATTACCGTAATTGAGAGGAGGAGACGGCCTGGAGGAGGTAAACACTCTCTGCTTTCTGGGGCCATTTGACTCGTGCTCATTACCATAGTGACCAGGGTTGCCAACTCGGGTGTTCACATGTCGCTAGGCTGGTACCTAAATGTCGCTAAATCTTCCATGGAAAGTCGCTAGCTATTATTCCCCCCTTCAGTAATTTGATATTATTTTTTTTAAAGTTTAATGTGCACACTTACCTATTATTCAATAGTAATTGCATCCCAGTCCTTTTGGTAGTGTGAACAACTGTAGAGCTGGAAGCATGTGAAGTGCTTGGTTCAGGTTCTCTTGTAACTGTATGCCTCCACAGTCCCTATCTTTCTTAAAATATCACTAGGAAGTTCACAACAGGTGCTCTGTCTTTTTAACCCATACTTTATTGTAAGAATTGCCTTTAATGTCGATAGTTTCATTTTGTTGCGCAATTTTGATTTCACAAAGTTCATATTAGGCTACTAAATGTGCGCTCTACATCTGCGTTTGAATGCGGAAGAGATAAGGCAGCGAGTGCAATTTCAGCCAGATCATGGTAAGGGTTTTCACCGGTCGCATCTCTGTAATTTGCCACTTCTGACCACAATTTTAGGGTGTTAGATGTTTCTGTCCAGATTGTGTGATGCAGTTTTTTCCACTGGAAATCAATCTTGGTAAGGGTGCTGGAATCTTTTGTAAATAAGTGTGCCAAACCAAGTATATCTGATTTAATAGGCTTCAAGCATTCATCGGCACTCAGAAAAGAAATAGACTGCAGCACACGAATGTTGTCAGGTAAGCGTTGACGAAGTTGTTTTATGAGTTCAACCCGTTCAAATGCATTGTCCCTGTAACCCCGTTGCTATATATTATGGCTCGAAATTAGGAAAACTGAGTTTTCATAGACAGTCCAAAAGTATCCAGAAAGTCGCTAGATTTCTGTGGATATCTTTAGATTTGCGACAAGTCGCAAATCGCTCTAAAATGTCGCTCGAAAAAAACAAAAAGCTCTAGATCTAGCTACAAAGTCGCTAAGTTGGCAACTCTGATAGTGAGGGAAGGAACATTGTTTTGTTCCCTCATGAAGACTTCTCATTAATGATCATTGTTGATTCTCACTCATTATTTAAACTCTTTATATTTTTGTCTTGTTTTGAGGGATGACGTCAGCTCCACAGCTCTTAATAGACTCGTCTCTCCATGATGAACACTTGGCCTTCACGGGGACCAGAGGAGCCTCACCTTAGGCTGATATTATTCCAACATTACCAGACGATTTTACTCGGCTCAGAGAGGACCCCATACACAAGGGGTCAAGCAGGTAAATACTGTACACTAATGATAATAAATAATGTGTTATATTATAGAGAAATTAAGGATCACCTGAAGATTTACCTCCAATTAACCTATCCTAACCCAACCGGTAACATGAGGGTGGTTACTCATCAGGTAAAATAAGCTGGGGGCTAATCTTCAGGTGATCAAAAAATAGTTTATATGAAATGAAATACTAAAATGGTTTCGCTGATATTCTCCAGTGAGGTTTGATCCAACATTAGTACATTAGAATCGATTTCCCATCAGCCGGAATTAAATTGTGTATGTCATGTACTATGTTGTGTCACATCCAACTGGGTTACTTCACCTACTGCAGTATACAAAACGCAATTTAGTTCCGAATACAAAAACAAATGTCATTTTGAATACCAATTACCTCCGTGGAAAAGAAAATGATTTATACCACACAAAATTTTCGTGACTATACAGTATATCAAAGTATGAATCACCTTATTATTAGACCATTCCAGTTCATTTCAACTAAAAATTAACCACCATAATAGTAACCTAATCTAACCTAACCAAACACTGATCTATCATGAACCATCACTAACCTTCCCTAACACTCTACGGACACTCCCACCCACGTTTCATTTACTTCCACGGAAACTTTTTTTTTTTTCGTCTATCGGTATATGTTTTAAGAGATTTCTTTCTCTTCCTTCTTTACTCGCAATATACTTCTTTCTTACTTCCTTCAACATTGAATTATCCGTGAATAACCATATCATTTATCTCCCCCCTCTCCCTCCCTCCTTTCGTATCTCTCCCTCACTCCCTCCATTTCCTCGCTTTCCTTCTCTTTCGTCCCTCACTCCCTTCCCTCAACACCATCTCTTTCCTCGTCCCATCTTTCCCTCCAACTTAGTTTTCACGCGGAAGGAAGGGGGAAGGAGGAAGGGGAGGAAGGAGGGAGGAGGGAAGGAGGAGGGGGGGAAGGAGGGGTGGAAGAGGGGGGGAAGGAGAGGGGGAGGAGGGGGGTGGTAGGGCGGGTAGCCTCAGGACAAGAGGCACTTAATTCACTACGCCTCACAACCCGTCCGGGAGAGTTAAGGCTAACCCCATGGTGAGAATTCAGACCCTAATTTATGGTCCAGCCCTTACTTTTAGGGGTTACGTGGAGGGCTGAGGGCTGCCCGTTTGTATAAGGTATATGACAGAGCCCAGGTCACTATACACATCTTCAGGGTATGTATAAACGCCATACATACATACATACATACATACCATACATACATACATAGGAGTTGTATTTTTAATCAGAAGAGGTTAAGAGCTATGGGTTGGCTCTATCTGCCTCGTCTTCTGCTCATTTCCGCCACTTTCCTCTTCCATACAAGGACCAAGTTCACTTTCTAATTTTGTCACAACTGCTATTTTCCGCCTTCAACCAAACTCACTTTAATTATCACAGCTTCAATTTTCCGCCTCCATACCCAACTAAATTTCCCTTTCTAATTGTGTCGCAGTTTAAACTTTCCGCCTTTGTTCTCACTTACAGTCTAAATACTTTGAACCTTGAGAGAGTAAGAGAAGCCATAATGAATAAACAGTAGCTGAGTGAAACGACTAACACACTCACAACAGCCCCAGGGAGAAGGAGGGGGTGAGAGGGATACAGGAGGGGACGGCGGGAGAGGGTGAAGGAGGGGGGTGAGAGGGGGGAGGACGGGAGGGGAGTAGGGGATACAGGAAGGGAGAAGCCCGCAAGACTTCAAGGCGGGGAGATTATAAAGGAGTGGAAGTGTAAAGGAAAGATGGGATGGAGGGAAGAATGAAGGTAGGATAGAGGGAGGGAATAAAGACGATAAGTAAACAGGAAGCACTACACAGGGTTGAAGGTGTTGTTGCCGGGTACACCCTGATGGAGGTGTCCCTGAGGGTGTAGTTAGGACTCCATAAACTACTAGGTTATGTGACGTGAGTGTGGAGTACAGGGGTGTAGTGTGGTGAGGACTGTAGAGTGGGTATGGTGTGGGTGTGACGGACTGTAGAGTGGGTATGGTGTGGAGTGAGTGTGGTGTGGGTGTGACGGACTGTAGAGTGGGTATGGTGTGGGTGTGACGGACTGTAGAGTGGGTATGGTGTGGGTGTGACGGACTGTAGAGTGGGTATGGTGTGGGTGTGACGGACTGTACCAATTACTCTACCTGTACTTTATAACCCGATCTTGTACGTACTTCTAGTGATGTTACCCAAATAAATCTTTCCAAGTGCAGTGTAGTACATTTAAGTGTAGTACAGTGTAAAGTAGTGTAGTGTAAAGTAGTGTAGTACAGTGTAAAGTAGTGTAGTTACGTATGGTGTAGTGTAGTGAGGCGTAATGTGGTGCGAGAGACTAATAATAACAATGCGTCTTAACTTACAGCTGGGCCCCCTCGCGTATGGCTGCGACACGAACTATGTAACCACCGCTGATTTAGTCATCCCTTAGCACTCCAGACACGCCCGGCATCTCCAGTACTGTATATAGTATTAATTATTCCTATGTCAAATACATCAGACGACCTCTTAACTATATCCTCTCCTGAATTATTAGACTTGGGGGAGTTAGATGGAGAGAGAGGGGGGGGAGGGGGGGGAGAGAAGGGTGACGGAGGATATATTGAAGAGGGGCAGTCTCTCTCTCTCTCTCTCCTCTCTCTCTCTCTCTCTCTCTCTCTCTCTCTCTCTCTCTCTCTCTCTCTCTCTCTCTCTCTCTCTCTCTCTCTCTCTCTCTCTCTCTCTCTCTCTCTCTCTCTCTCTCTCTCTCTCCACAAACACAGGACTTAAATTACGATATACAAAGAATAAATAATAAAATAAATACAATCATTCATATTTGGTGATTAACAAGATCAAATATAACTAATTACATTGTGCCTTCTATACGATAATTACATACGATCAGTGCGCAAGAATTACATTACATTATGGTGATTATATAAGAAAATAACATAAGGTATTACGGTGATTGCAGAAGAAAAAATTACGTTACAAGAAGTATTATGGTGATTACAGAATACAATAGGTTGACCAAAGAATCAAAGAAAACGGATCAACAGCTCAGTAATAAGAGAAAACGTAATTGTGCTGGAGGGGAAACTTGAACAAGAATTTAATTACTCGACATATACCATCAAAAGGACTTTTAAAATCTTTCGTTTATTTAACAGATGTCAAACTTTAACCAAACCTAATTTGAAGAATCGCATTACGCTAGGATGGATCAGGTTAGGTTAGGTCAGGTCGGGTTAGGCAAGGTTTGATTAAGTTTGGTACTGCTGCAATAGGGTAGGGTAGGGTAGGGTAGGGTAGGGTAGGGTAGGGTAGGGTAAGGATTCACTAGGTTATGTTTGGTTCTATTAGACAAAGTTTAGTAAGCACCGTTCGTGGTACTTCCCAACAATGTGAGGCGGTGGTCAAAGGGGTGGTATCAAGCTGTTATACACAAGACAGTGCAATAACGACAAACAAACACCAATAAATATACCGTACATATTATCGTTAAATATTTACTTACGCGTTTCATCTCCTGCAGCATAATAATAAAACAATTGATAAATCCTGAATTACAACCACCCTAAAATAATTTATCTTTTCCATAATATTTCAATTAATACAGCTCGTTATATTTTGCAGCTAACAAAGGTATTATTACATGGTCGAAATATATCTTACGATTATCTGTGCGAGAACTGTATAATGAACATGGATGACTAAAGCTGCACCATAACGAAGTGGATCATTCTTTGTATAGCCGCGTATACACCAAGCAAATTATATACAATAAATAATTCATACAATACTTTTAAGATATACAATTACTCGTGTCATATTTATTAACATTCATCAGCGTGCTTAGTTAATTTCAGCGGATAGTTGACAAGTGGATTACAGTGGTTGGCGGATAGTACAGTGGATGGCGGATAGTACAGAAGCTGGCGGATAGTACAGTGGCTGGCGGATAGTACAGTGGATGGCGGATAGTACAGTGGCTGGCGGATAGTACAGTGGCTGGCGGATAGTACAGTGGCTGGCGAATAGTACATACAGTAGTCTGCTCTATTACCTGTATAAACAAAACATGCGCAGGAAATGTGTACTTTTGTATCTTTTGTTTATTATCAAGCGACGAGACAGTTTTTCATACAGTTTTCCAAGATACACACAAAATATACACCAAGCGGTTAAAATACAAAACTTCCTGTAACTTAAGAGATATATAGTTACGAATATAAAGAGAAAATACAGACTTCATTGAGCATACAGCATAAAAAACAGACGTATGAGTAAAAAAATACACAAATACTAACATAAAGAGATGTCAGTTTTAAAAATATACAGACAAAGAATTAAATATGAAAATACAAGAATACTTCTATTAAGATAAAGTGAAAGTAAGTTCTTTAATTAAACACAAGGAAAAAAACACTGAACGCCAGACATGAAAAAACACAGACGAAAGCAAACTGGTTGTGTGTGTGTGTGTGTGTGTGTGTGTGTACAGAGCTTGAGGCCAACCAACACGAGGTGAACTAATTTGCATATTAAAAATGTTGGGGAAATGTTTACACTTGGATCTGTGAACGTTTGGGGGCTCTGGTGCAAATGGTGGTGATGATGGTGGTTAGTGGTGATGGTGGTGGTTAGTGGTGATGGTGGTTAGTGGTGATGGTGGTTAGTGGTGATGGTGGTTAGTGGTGGTGGTGGTTAGTGGTGATGGTGGTTAGTGGTGATGGTAGTGGTTGGTAGTGGTTGGTAGTGGTTGGTAGTGGTAGTGGTGATGGTGGTTAGTGGTGGTGGTTAGTGGTGATGGTAGTGGTGATGGTGGCTAGTGTGGTGGTGGTTATGGTGATGTGGTAAGATGGTGGTGGTTAGTGGTGATGGTGGTGGTTAGTGGTGTGGTGGTTAGTGGTGGTGGTGGTGGTTAGTGGTGATGGTGGTGGTTAGTGGTGATGGTGGTTGGTGGTGGTGGTGGTGGTTAGTGGTGATGGTGGTGATAGGGTGGTGATAGTGGGTGATGGTGATTAGTGGTGGTGGTATTAGTGGTGGTGGTGGCTGGTGGTGGTGGGTGGTTGGTGGTGGTGGTGTAGTGGTTGCAGGAAGTGGTGGTAGTGGTTGGTAGTGTGGTGGTGGCGGTAGTATGGTGGTGGTGGTGGTAGTGGTAGTTGGTAGTGGTGGTGGTGGTTGGTAGTGGTGGTGGTTGGTAGTGGTGGTAGTGGTTGGTAATGATAGTTGATGGCACCGGAAAACAAAACTTATCTTTGTTGTTACCGGATTGAATTAATTTCTAACCGGATACAACCCCTTCAAACACTCTGGACGACAAGCAAATGACCTTATGACCCCCTACAGCGGGAATCGAACCGGGGTCGTATTAAACTGAAGGCGAGGGCATTACTCCCTAAGCCACGACACACCCTCACAACAATGGCTAGTCATCAACCTAACCTAACCTGCCGCCATAGTCACGGTAGGGATTGATTACAGGTAGGTGCTGAGGTGAATATGGCGGTCACCTCTCTATCTCTACCTGTCAATGATGATGATGATGTCGCGTGATGACCTTGGCGGACCGGTCAAGAATCATTAACGTTACTCGACTGATTATAGCGTGTCACTGTCAAGCTCCGCCTCTCACTCACTGACAGTATCTAGTGACGTCACCATCAAGGTCATCCGTGTCACCCGTTTGACCTGACCTCTGACCTAGTGATTGTTTTCATTTCCGTCAACTGTATTCATGGAAGTCAAGTTTAAATACAAAGGTGTAGTGGCAGAGTAAATACAACACTCGTTTCTCCTTCTAAAAGTCCCTGGTTCGATCCCCGGGGCATTGCTAGTCCACCCAGGTGTATATGTGTACCTGTTGTGTATGCTGAGGTGTGTATTTCTCCCATTACATATACTGTATACTATACTCTCAAGGACAAACTAACTCTAACGAATATATAATGTAACAGGTTTAATGACGTCATCTTGTTATTCATGATTTACAAGGTTAATTATGCAATGACCTCCCCCCCAGGTCAGGTCAGCACAGGTGGTGATGGTGTGTGACGTTCAACCTTATAATTGTGCACTGCATAAAATGTGTAAATTAATCTGGTAAAAGTCGCTTTGTATGTATATATTTCTAGATTGAAATTTAAGTTGGAAAATAAACGCAAACTAATTAAAAAATGTGAGAGTTGTATATGATAGTCATCGTAGAGTGTTTCATTACATAAGATAATGACTGACAGTTCCTGGTCATGTTAAACGCTGGCGGCATTAATAAGTTTAAGACAATCAACTATGACATTTAAACGACAATATCTTTATCATACTGTCGGTTATTTCAAGCACAAACAATCACGATTTCCATAGTATACATTTTACTTTGTGTTAACGCTTCAGTGAGCATTGTGTGTGTAACCGACCACAACAACTGGTGGCCATCAGGGCAGACTCTAATATGAGTTTCTTGTTAAGGGAGAGACAGCCTCTAGATGGCCAATATTGTCTATTATAAAAACAATATCCTGGGTGTGGATAAACCCAAAAATCCTGAGGATGAAGGAAATCCCCGACAATGGTGAGACAAGTGAGGGTGGGGCAATGGTGAGACAAGTGAGGGTGGGGCAGCGTAAATTGGGGCAGCGTGGGGGTGCGGTGGCGGGGGTGGGGCAGCGTGGGGTGGGGCAGCGTGGGGGTGGGGCAGCGTGGGGGTGGGGGCAGCGTGGGGGTGGGGCAGCGTGGGGTGGGGAGCAGCGTGGGGGTGGGGCAGCGTGAGGGGCCAGAGAACACTCTTGTCTGCTTTCTTTTGTTTACACACAGCTGAGCGGCGGCATCTGATTGGCTGATTAACTAATTAGACACGCGGATAATACTATTGTTTGGACACGTATTTCAAACTTTACACCAATATAAAAGTAAATATTAACATTACGCTCTTATATATTATCTTTATTAATAATACTGAATGATTATTATTATTAGTGTATCAAACAACTAATTACTTACACAGTCAATTGGTATACATTTACGTTGTGAATATTATATAACCTATAATGTTATTTAACAACTTTAATTCTTACGACTATTCTAATGTTTGTTGCAGCTAAAATGGGTTATTTATTACACGAGTGACAGCAACCAGTCAGAGCCCCAGGTTATGGCAACAGGTGTTGACACACAACAACAGGAACCAGGGGACAGTAAACTCTTGGCTGGTAACCATGGTAACGGCCGCCTTGCTGCTGCCCGCCTCTAAGCTGCGGTTCACCTTCCTCATGCTTCACAGCTTCTCGAAACTTACTAAGCTTCCATCAAAACCTAAGCTTCCCTCGAAACTTACCGAAGTTTCCCTCAAAACTTACCAAGCTTCCCTCAAAACCTACAGAGCTTCCCTCTATCAACTAAGCTTCCTTCAAAACTTACCAAGCTTCCCTCCTCTTAAGCCGTTTTATGTACATATATACTCCATCAAGCTTCGGTTCAAGATGTGTTGTTACGTGTTCACATTTGTACCACACTAAGCTTACCCGTGTGTTGCAACCATCTGCCTCCAAGATTTACGAACTTTTCAGAATCTTGCTTAAGTAAAAAAAAAAATAATAATAATAATAATTAATAATACAAAAATAAATAAAATCCACCCAAAAAAAATAATAATTCTTTTACACAATTTAGACCAAAATAATACCCCTGTGTGTTGAGTGATGTCTCTACACACGCTCTGTACTGTGTAAAGCATTAAATATATATCTCACTATATTATAACGATAAATATAGTGGTTATAGTGACAGCGGATATAGTGATTATAGTGACAAATAGTGGTTATAGCGACATATAGCAGATATAGTGATTATAGTGGCAGATAAATATAGCCAATAGTGGTTATAGTGACAGAATATGGTATAGTATAGTAAATATGGTGTATGGTATTATACTATGGTGATATATGTATAGCTTATAATGATCTGCATATGATGATTAATATAGTGATAACGTAAATATAGTGCGGTATGGTGATTTTAGACGACTATTAGTATTTAACATTGAATAGCAGCAATGGTAGATGGTGTGTTTGGTGCTCCTAGCTATGGTGGCTCTCGGTATGGTGTTCATGGTGCTCTAGCTACAGCCTATGGTGCTCTAACATCTATAGTGTAAAGTCTATTGAACCCTAGCTATGGTGCTGTCCGTCCTAAAGTCTATGGTGCCCTAATTAAAGCTTATGGTGCCCTAATTAAAGCTTATGGTGTCCCACTTAAAGCTTATGGTGCTAATTAAAGCTTATGGTGCCCTAGGTATGGTGGCTATAGTGTCATAATCACGGTAGCGGAGGCGTGGCACCGACTATGGTAATGGGAGGCTTCTTATGGTAGTAACTGGGCCTACCTGCCAGATATTTCCTCAGCGCTAGAGACAAATGGGAGATATATTAATGAGAGAGAGAGAGAGAGAGAGAGATAGATAGATAGATAGATAGATAGATAGATAGATAGATAGATAGATAGATAGATAGATAGATAGATAGATAGATAGATAGATAGATAGATAGATAGATAGATAGATAGATAGATAGATAGATAGATAGATAGATAGATAGATAGATAGATAGATAGATAGATAGATAGATAGATAGATAGATAGATAGATGGATAGATGGATAGATAGATGGATAGATAGATAGATAGATAGATAGATAGATAGATGATAGATAGATAGATGGATAGATAGATGGATAGATGGATGGATGATAGATGGATAGATGATAGATGGATAGATGGATGATAGATTGATTGATTGTTAGATAAAGAGAGAGTCAATTATATCCACATCGCTAAAATAAAGTATACACACACACACACACACGTATAATACAAAGCAAAGTTTATATACCTTCACATAATCATACTTACCTGACCAATATATATATATACATACAAAAATACTCTTATAATATATGTATAATCACACATCCCACCTGTTTGTATCCATGCATAGCTACATATGTATAATTCACATCTATAAAACACAATATAAAGAGTTAATATTAATAACTATAAACTAGTCTTACATTAACCTAAAAATATAATTAACTTAACCACATGCAAATTAGATGGCCAATTACCCTTCATTAATACTGTACAAACATGTTAAATAATTAATTAACGTACAGGTATATGGTAGTCTTAAATTAACATATTAACTTGTTATATTCATGCTGGTATATAGTCCTCTATTGTTATATTATAAGAGGTGGAAATACAGCATTAGCGCCACAAGTAATAGTTCTTTTATACTGGACTGAGTTATAGTCTATGGTAATACTACTACTACTTCACCTGTTCACATATCCGCTGAGACATTGTTACATAACTATTTGACAAATTTCAAAACCGAATGACAGAACACATATCGAATGACAATCTAAAATAACTGTTGGTGGTATGTCATTCTTCAATTGTTACATTCTCTAACTATATGTAGACTGTTGGTTTATTGTTCACGGCTGTCAACTTCATAACTTATGTCAATCTCTTCCGTTAGCATGAACCAACAGGTATTTTAGATTGTCATTCGATATGTGTTCTGTCATTCGGTTTTGAAATTGGTCAAATAGTTATGTAACAATGTCTCAGCGGATATGTGAAAAGGTGAACTACTACTAATACTACTACTACTACTAATAAATAAATAATTAACAGTTCCCTAAGTTTAATAAGTAACGCCAATAATATGATATTTGAGGCGAGAACAAAAATCTATTATCAGGAAATAAACTATCGATATTTTTTTTTTCAATCTCTCACAAAGAATAAGGTGAGCTAACAGGTGGTGGTTGGTACAGTCAGGTGGCGAGCTAACACAACACACAGGTGGTCACACACACACACACACACCAGTAAAGCAACACGATATAAAACAATTGAGGTGTGAGTCAGGTACAGAGGCGCTACTGACAAACAGCCTGTTAAAGGAGGTGAAGCTAATACAGGTCAGGTCAGGTCAGGTCAGGTTAGTCTTTCCTGCTAATTCAGTGGCGCCTCTATATTGTTCACACAAAACAAATAATACCTACCCACATATACCCCCCAAAATCATAAACAAACACCACACATCATACGACCCGCTACACACACACAACAGATAAAACTACTTGTGGCTAAGAGTTACTGGGGGTGACTCTAAAGATTCTGCCATGCGTGTTATATATTAGAGGGTGACAACACGCTGGTGGCCAAGGCAAGTGGTGGTAGAGAGATGCTGTTACGACGTCGTGCAGACCTTGCTACCACATTACAGAGAGATGGGGGTGGGGTGGGCAGGTGAGCGAGTGGGCGGGCGGGCGGGCTTGTAGGCGGGGCGATAATCTACACCTTGACAACCAGCGGTAAAGGATGGGAAGGGAGGAGGATGCAGCAGCCACCCACAACAGCAGCAGCAGCAGCAGTAGTAGTAGTAGAAGTAATCACACGAAGGAGGAGGAGGCAGCAGAAGGAGTACCTCGTCTTAACCCACTACCAGCAGACGCCACGCTCTTTATAACAACTGCAACGGAGAAGAAACATAGGAACGATATCAACTTACTCTCACCTGGCTGGAAACTGCCAAGCTCAATCTGTTTACTAGTGTCCGTCTTGTTGGGGACGCCGCACAGGTTCTTCTCGGCCAACCAGGCGAGGATCACCAACATGGGGAAGAGCAGCAGGGTCACCACCGCCTCCCAGATCTCCACCTCGTCCTTAGAGTTCGCCACCAGGATGATCAGCAGCCACAGGTACGCCACCACTGCGAACACCGCCGTCACAGCGAACACCTGCCGGCCATGACAAGAACAATGGGTGAGTGAGGACCATGGAACACAGGTGAAGGTGACAGGGAGGGAACACAGCCGTCGAGATGAATGTGAGGAAAATATTGGCAACTGAGCACCATCTCCTGCCCGTCACAACACCAACATCCTGCACCGATAAGACTCATTTCCCTGTTGTCATGTGCTGGAGATCTTCCGGGCATTGGGGAGCACCCGGGGGAACACCTGGAGGCACCTGGGGAAGACACCTGAAGGCACCTGATGGAGGGAAGTAACACCTGATGGGGAAAGTAGCACCTGATGGGGAAAGAACACCTGATGGGGGAAAGTAGCACCTGGTGGGGAAAGTAGCACCTGATGGGGAAAGTAGCACCTGATGGGGAAAGTAGCACCTGATGGGGAAAGTAGCACCTGATGGGGAAAGTGGCACCTGATGGGGGAAAGTGGCACCTGATGGGGGAAAGTAGCACCTGATGGGGGAAAGTAACACCTGATGGGGGAAAGTAGCACCTGATGGGGGGAAAGTAACACCTGATGGGGACCAAGGTGACTCCTGGAACCTGATTTAAGGTGGTGAGGCCGTGAGTCAAGGTGAATGAAACACAATACGAGAGCGCCTGGGGGAGGAAGACCTGCCTGGGTATGAATGAACACTCGTGGTCACAGGTCGAATGTCATTGCAAATTCCAACGTCATATTTCTGCAATTCTAACCTCAATTTACCTGTCAACTTTGTGCAATAGAGTGAGGGAGATGAAATACGTTCCGATACATCCAGTTTAGGGAAGTTAATACAATCATAAAACACCTGGTCATTAAGATACCTGGTTCACTAGTATGTTACCTGAGCTACCTGCCTCATGTGACCCCCCTCACCTGTTTCTCTCAAGCATGACGAGTTCTTAGGGAAGTGAGAGAGAGAATTATGATAAAGCAGAGACGATAATAATTAGCGATAACAATATATAAAGATAGAGGGAGAATAAACAGTCAAGACATCGATAAATTAATAGAAAGCAATGAATATAATTTTTGTATCAAGGACGAGGATTTTTGAAGAGGAAGAGGAGCAGGAGTAGAAGGAACAGGAGTAGGAGTAATGGGAGGAATAGGAGTAGTAATAGGAGCAGGAAGAGGAGGAGGAGTAAGAAGAGGAGGAGGAGGAGGAGTAGTAGGGGGAGGAGTAGTAGTAGGAGGAGTAGAAGCAGAAGGAAGAAAACGTGATAAAACACAGATACGTACAATAACTAACCAAACCCTTGACATCCTTACCTTGATATCCTTAATCCTACGAGTCTCGGTGTTTGGAATAGCCATAACACAGACGGCAGTGATGACAAACAGATTGAAGGCAGCCGAACCCACGATGGTACTGGGTCCTAACTCCCCAGAATTGAACCCATTGCCCATGATCTCAATGATGGACAGAAGGATCTCAGGGGCCGAAGATCCTAGGGCCATGAGGGTCAGGTTGGCCACGGCGTCACTCCATATCCTCACCTCGATCACCTCTGGTTCGTCCTCCTTCTCTGACGTCAGGTAGATCTGTTGAGGGAGACGGTTTGTTATTGTTGTGGTCTGCTGTGTGTGTGTGTGTGTGTGTGTGTGTGTGTGTGTGTGTGTGTGTGTCTGTGTGTGTGTGTCAATCACTCTTCCAGAATATCTCTCGCTCTCTGTCTTGATCTTTCTGTCTCTCTCCCTCTCCTTTACTCTCTCCCCCACTCCTCCTCTCCCCATTCTTCTCACCACCTCCTCTCCCCCACTCCTCCTCTCCCCAACCCCCTCTCCCCCACTCACCTTACGGGTCTTGCTGGTGATCTTCTCAATTGCTCCCATAAAGATGTCGGCGATGATAGCAACACCCAGGAAGCAGTAGAGAAGACCCGCCAGGTAGAGGAAGGCGCGAACCTCAAATGTCCAGGTGTACTCCGAGATGAACGGCAGCAGCAGTCCCCGATTTGCACACCTGTAATGTACGTGTAGAGGTTAATGAGCAACTATACACCTGTAATTCACGTGTGAAGAAGTAAATGATCACTTTACAAGGTATGTTTTTGCTGGCTAATCAAATGTTGTGGTAATACAAATAGATTAGAGAGAGAGAGAGAGAGAGAGAGACTCACCTGTAGCCGCCGTACACCTCCTCGGCCCTCAGGTAACTCTCATTATTGTAGGTGATGACCGACTCGACAGCCATCAGGGCGTCAACTGATGCCTCCGTCGTCGCTGTCGACCCCCTCCCTCACTCACTCCTGCTGGGGGAGACACACAGTTACTTCCTGGTGGATGATAAAGAACTAATTATATTATCTACTGGAGATTATGAGTCGAGGTGTTTACCAGATACTAGCGAACAGAATTTTTTGGATCAGTTGCCAGCGAATAATTGTATATTAATCCACTTCCTGGCGAATAAACATAATGTATCCAAAAGCCATAGATGGTACACGTAAATATGTGTATATATAAACTGGAAATAGGAAGATTAAAAGAGGATCATAATATACACACAAACACTTCATCTTTATTTTATCCACCTCCACACTCCACCCTCACACTCCACCTCCACACTCCACCCTCACACTCCACCCTCACACTCCACCCTCGAGATACAAGCCAATAACAACACCGTGACACAAGACACACGGGGTCTGGTGGGGGTGATATTTGGGTTCAGTTATCCCTCGACGAGCTTACCACCACCACCACCACCACCACCTCACCATTCTTTCTTCTCCTTCGCTTCCTTCTTCTCCTCTTATTTCACTTCCTTCTCCTTCACTTCATTTTCTTCCCCTTCTCCTATTCCTTCTGCTTCTTTCCTCCTCCCACTCCTCTTCTTCTCATCATCTTCCCTTTCTCCTCTTCCTCCTACGTATATTAAATTCTTTGACAGGTGGCCAGACGACAGAGGGCATAGTGGGTGGGGGAGCAAAGGGTGGGGGAGGGTGAGGGAGTAAAGGGTGGGGGTGAGGGAGCAAAGGGTGGGGGTGAGGGAGAAAGGGTGGGGGGTGAGGGAGTAAAGGGTGGGGGTGAGGGAGAAGGGTGGGGGTGAGGAGCAAAGGTGGGGGCTGAGGGAGTAAAGGTGGGGGTGAGAGAGATAATGGGTAGTAAGTGGGGATGACGGAGGGGGTTAAGGGCGGAAAGACAAGAAGGAAATGGAATGGGTGATGTGTAACGGCAGAAACAGGATGGGCGTAGGATGGGCGAGGAGGGCGTGGGTGAAGATACAAGGAAGGAAGGAAGGAAGGAAGGAAGGAAGGAAGGAGAGACTTAAGGAAGGTACGGAAGACATGGAGAGAATATGATGGTTAGAGATAATGAGAGAATGAGATAAGAGACGGAAAGGAATGAACAAAGTTGAAGAGATAGAGAGAGACACTGCATCCGAGGAGGAAACAATTGGACGAGGAGATAAGAGGAAAGGGGCTTACAACCTCTCTCCTCCCTCCTCTCCCTCTCCCCTCCCTCTCCTCTCCTCTCTCCACAACGTCACAGAAGCCCCTCCCCACAGAGTACCAGCCACCACGAAATACTAGAGGAAAGGAAATGAAGGGAAAAAATTTCATTATCTATTGTGATACGAGACTGATAGACACACAGACCAAAAGAGAGAGAGAGAGAGAGAGAGAGAGAGAGAGATATGACAAACTTTCTGGGACAATTTTCCGGAGCTGTTGAAACTAAGTCTAACACAAAGACGCTTTCAACTTGCGGCGCCTCTGTCCGTCTGTCTTGTTTCTCTATCTGTATATCTCGGTCTGTTTGTCTCAATCTATTCTTTATCTTCTCCTTTCCTCTCTCTCTCTTCCCATCTTTTTCCTCTTCACTCCTCACTCTTAGGGAGAGAATAAAAGGTAACTGGACTCCTTTACCATAGGAATTTTCAAGGATATTTCAACTCTCCTTTTCTTAACTCTTCCTGTCGCTTTATCTGCTTAATCTCCCTTTTTAACTCTTCTCCCTTTACTTATGTCTTCTTCAACTCCCTTTATCCACCCACATATAGAGATAGAAGAGGAGGAAAGGGAAGAGAACACAAGATGTAGTTTAAATGTTGAGATAAATATATTAAGAGAAATTACGATAGTTATCCTTCAACTTTCGCTGTGGTCGTTTTTGATTCACACGACCTCCCTCTCACCTTACGTATTATTATTACTATTTTTACTATTATTACCATTTTTATTATTATTATTATTATTATTTTACTATTATTATTATTATATTATTATAATTTACTATTAATATTTTTACTATTATTATTATTTTTACTATTAATATTTTTACTATTATTATTATTATTATTATTATTATTATTATTATTATTATTATTACAATTTTTACTTTAATATTTTTCTATTATTATTTTTTACTATTAATATTTTTACTATTAATATTATTATTATTATTATTATTATTATTATTATTATTACGTTTCATTAGGACTAAAAATCCTTTTCTCAACCTACCCACTAACACCAAACACATCTATCTTGCTACCTCAATTTAAAATTGATATACTGTACAGTATAAACAGATCGATTCGCATTTTATACAATAATACGAACTTAGAGGAAATATCCACCACCACCCAAGAAAAAAGGTCTTGCAAGTCACTGTGTACGGCCTGAAGGGTGGGGGGAGGTGGAGGGAGGGGAGGAGGTGGGGAGGAGAGGGGAAAAGAGGGGAGGGGGGAGGGGAGGAGAGGGGAGGAGGTGAGGTGGGAGGAGGAGAAAATGAACATAAATGGTGTTCTTGGAAGGAATGGCAAGGTGAATGAAGGGGAGAAATGTGAAGGGGGGAGGGAAGTGAAATGAGAGTATAGAGGGGAGGCGAGGGTCAGGCTCGGCATGAAACACTTTGTGCAAGTCAGAGAGGGAAGGGGGAGAGGGAGGAGGGGAGATGAGGGGGGAGGAGGATGAGGGGAAGAGGAAGGATGAAAGGGAGGTATGGAGGGATGGAAGGAGACAGTAGAAATTGGAGAAGAGAAGGGGACGGTAAGGGGGGGAAGGTGGAAACCGATATGGGGAGAAGAGGAAGAGGAGGGAGGGAGGGAGAGGGATCGGTGAGAGGGTGGGAGGGATGTTAACACCTGCAGCTGTTCGGAACTTGCCTTCTCACCACTTTTCCCTCACCACTTTCCCTCACCACCCCACCACTTTCCCCTAACCACCTTCCCTCATCCACCCCTTTCTCCTTCCCCACTTTCCTCTTACCATCACAGTCTGTCTCACTTCACTTCACTTCACCTCGTCTCAGGTGGGAGAAGATAATTAGCACCTGGCCACCTGGATCGCTCGTCCCCACCTCACACTATATTTACCACCTGAGAGAGAGAGAGAGAGAGAGAGAGAGAGAGAGAGAGAGAGAGAGAGAGAGAGAGGCACTCTATAATATATATGGTGGTAATAATACTAAATAATAACAATAATAATAATAATAATAATAAAAATAACAATATCAACAGAGTCCTCAGCACATTTCAACACAATGTTTACGTTTTTCTAGAGTTGGATTACCCTTCGGATTTGCTTAATGACGTCACACAGGACAGAGCCTCATTGGTGGACATGAGAGGCGTGTTCAGTACTCACCACGCCTCTACACACACACACACTCGCCATTGTTCTTACTTTTTCCTTGTTACCACCTTGACAGCAGACCTTTAGAAATTATATATACAATTTTTCTTGCTGTTGCCATAGTGTATATATGTAGTAAGTATAAATACTGTTAACCTTCCCGTTTTATAGTGAAGATGGTTATATAAACAGACAGACTGACAGACGTACTGTACATACTAGTGACGTTGACTACCTGTACTGTAGCTACTGTTGGTAATTAAATTAAATTGAGAATACGGAGACGACCATTTAAAGCAACACGATAACACAATTACATGGTGGTGGTGATAGTAGTGGTGGTGGTGATAGTAGTGGTGATGGTGGTGTGGTGGTAATGGTGGTAGTGATAGTGGTAATGGTGGTGGTGATAGTGGTGATGGTGGTGAGTGGTGGTAATGGTGGTAGGATAGTGGTAATGGTGGTGGTGATTGTGGTAATGGTGGTGGTGATAGTGGTAATGGTGGTGGTGATAGTGGTAATGGTGGTGGTGATAGTGGTAATGGTGGTGGTGATAGTGGTAATGGTGGTGGTGGTGATAGCGCTGGTGGTGGTGGTGATAATTAGTGGTCAGACCTTTGAATGTCAAGTGTCAGGTGATATTTAGAAACTTGAACGTTAACATTTCTTATTAGTGTATTATCACCTCATAAACACGTATGGGGGGCGAACGACCTATTTAAGGAAGGCTGTATATTCTCTCTCCTTATCTACGAGCGATAGGGCTGGTGTGAACGGGCTGCCTATAGTATGGCCAATAGGACAGTTTCTCTCTCTCTCTCTCTATTGCCCTCTAACAATGTTCGTCAACCAATTGGTGATAACGTTGTCGCCACGTTTTGTTTGTCGACCACCCGTGACGCCTCCTCTCTGGGGTCACTCACTAAGGTCATTATCTGGGGTCCTTTTAATGGAGTCTTGGGTAATTCTCTGGGGGTAATTATATAAGATCACTAGGAGAGGAAAATTCTGGGGTCATCCTCTAGGGGTGATTTTAAGGGGTACCTCTCAGCAATTTTGTCTGTGGGTCGTTGAGAGAGAGAGAGAGAGAGAGAGACTGTCTAGACGACACTGGTAACATTAACAACACAAAAAGTGGTTGTTGGTTGGTGGTGGTGGTGGTAGTAGGTGGTGGTGGTGGTAGTAGTGGTGGTGGTGGCAGTAGTGGTGGTGGTGTTGGTAGTCGTGGTGGTGTTGGCAGGTGGTGGTGTTGGTAGTGGTGGTGGTGTTGGTGGTGTTGGTAGTAGTGGTGTTGGTAGTAGTGGTGGTGCTGGTAGTAGTGGTGGTGTTGGTAGTAGTGGTGGTGTTGGTAGTAGTGGCGGTGTTGGTAGGTGGTGGTGTTGGTAGTAGTGGTGGGTGGTGGTGGTGGTAGTAGTGGTGGTGTTGGTAGTGGTGTTGGATAGTGGTGGTGTTGGTAGTAGAGGCAGGTTGGTAGCAGTGGTGGTGTTTATAGTAGTGGTGGTTGAAGGTATGGTGGTGTTGGTGGTGGTGGTGGTGGTAGTAGTGGTGGTGGTGGTGGTGGTGGTGGAGGTGGTGGTGGTGGTAGGGTGGTAGTGGTGGTGGTGTTGGTAGTGGTGGTGTTGGTAGTGGTGGTGGTGTTGGTAGTAGTGGTGGTGTTGTAGTAGTGGTGG